CCGGCCCGCGGGCGGCGCGCCGGGGCCAGGCCGGGGCGGCGGGCGGGGGCGAACGGGTGTCCTTGGGCCGCCGCCCCTCCCTCTGCTCCGCGGCCGAGGGAGGTGGTTCAGGGCGGGCCGAAGGAGCGGGGCGAGGGCGGGCGGAGGTGGAGGTGGAGCGCCCAGACACCTGGCGCCGGGGTGTTCGGCGTGAGGGGGAGCTCCGCGTAGGGACCGCTGAGCCGGGCCTGGTCGGGTCGGGCGGTGAGTGTCGGGGTCGTTGGCGGGGAGGTGAGGGGAGGTGAGGTGAGGGGCGCCAGGTAAAGTTCGCCGCGGACACTTTCCTCCCCCTCGTCCCGTTCTGGGAGGGGGAAGGATGGCGGCAGCCTCGGAAGGGCGGTGAGGGGCTTCTCTCTCCCCGGTACACGCTGAGGTGGGACCGGCCCGCTGCTCCCGGGAAGAGAGAGCCGGCGGTGGGAGATGGGGGGGACACCCCGCCGGTACCGGCCCTCCTCTCCCGGAGGGGACACTCCAGGCGGTCCCCGGCAAAAGAGACCCCCGGTGTAAAACAGCAACAGCCTCCGGGGTGCTGGGGAGGTGGGGGGGGATCCGCGCTCTCCTTGGGGAGGTCTCTGTCCCGCCGGAGTGAGGGCATCACTCTCGGTGTGGTTGTTTTTTTTTTGGAATAGAGACATCTCCAAACAAGTATTCATCGTACCGGCATGTAAAAAGTGTGAATATATTAAAATGTAAATGTGCATGTGTACTCGGCGGTGGTGTTGCGTGTTTCCTGTTTACCATGTTAATTAGAAGTTGTAAGGGAAAACTTCGCCAAGAGTAATCCAGGGCAGTGTTTGACCCAGTAATGCTCATTGAATGATGCGGTGGCTTTTATAGTTCTGGGTTTTCTCGCCCAAAACACAAGCCAAGTATTTATTGGGCTTCATGAATGAGAAAAATTGTAATACAACATATGCCTTTGAAACTATTCTCTACCAGCACAGGCGTCAAAACTAACTCAGCCGGTATAGAGGGAAAAGTTAAACTTCTCACTCTTGTTTTTATAAGGAAACTTTTGACCAAGCAGTTTGTCCCTAGTCTTGTAGACACTGGGATGCTTTCCTGGATTATTTTGGGTGACATTAACTAACAGTGCAAAAGTTTGAGATTTGGGACATACAATACCAGCGTTGTAAGGCAAGATGAGCGTACTTGTAAACAAACAGTGGCAAAAACATACGGAAGGATCTTGGGATTTTAATTGTTTTTTGCGGGTTTTGTCTTTCTTGTTCTTTTTTGAAAGCTAGTGTTGTTCAATAAGCTGTTCTGTTCCCATTCACTATGTCCTTTTAGTTTATAGGTGGTGCTAATACAAACAGATGTATTATTGAAACAATTTTGACATTAACCAAATATTTGTTTGTTTGTTTGTTTTTATAGTCCACCTCACAATTTCCAGATTCTTCCAGAGAAGAGAACAGAAAGAAACCAGTTTTGGAACGGCTTGGCAATTTGTTTGGTACAGGGAAAAGAAAGAACGTCAAAAGTTCACTAGAACACACTTCACATCGGAGAGGGGAGAGGTCAGTTTCTCCTCACAGAGTGCAGTCAATATACTGTAGGCACGTAAAGGAAGGACACGAAGCTCCTCAAGTACAGAAGCAAGTGAGAAACGTGAGTGCCGTTTCTGAGCCGCAGGAATATGGTTTCAGTGGGGAAGTAGGACCACCGTATCGTGATACCATCTCAGAATGGAGTTGTAGGGGCGTCTCTTCTGATAGTGAGTGGTCAGCAGATTGGAGCGGCAGCAGTGAAACCATCAAAAACTCTGTCTTTGAGAGCAGCCTGAATGTGGAAACCCTGGAACTGGAGAAAGAATCCATCACAGATATAAATAATTCCACAACTCCAGATTTCATTAAAAGCTTGAGAAGTGTGTCTAGCGAAGACTTAGAAAAGAATATCTTGAGCCACAAGCAGCTTGTGAACACGTGGGTGTCTGAGGAGCCTGGGCATGCAAAACCAAAGGATTTGCCATATGAGTTGGAATCTGCGGCGAGTGAACGCACACATTCTGCTAGAGTGTTAACAGTTGATATCTATCTAAGAAAAACAGACGAACTCCTTAATGAACCTGTGACTGTTATATCAGAAGAGAATTGCAGTGACTCGGACACAATGGATAAAAAATCTGCTAATAAAAGATCTGGGAAAAGGAGAAAATCTCAGTCATCTAGTGACATTCCAAATGGAGAGAGAAACCAGACTGAAACTGCTGCAAGAGAAGAATCTGTTTTTGAGGACGATGCTTCTGAAGTGTTTTCAGACAAGGTAGTAAATTTAGAAAGAAAAGCAAAGTCTCCTCAACAGACTCCTGAAAGGAATCTCTCTTCCTCGGGTAACAATCAGGACCTAAAAGTTGGATCTGCTCACAAAGGGGCATCTAAAACCGAAGCTGACAAAGGCAAGCAGCAGACCTCAAACACAACCCCTGCAAGGAGAAGATCATATAAAAAGAATCAGTCGGACCCTGTCCCCATTTCCCCTACTGGTTTGAAGGGTCAGGTAAAAGATTACTCCACAAAAAGGCAACCTTTAGCATCACCAGAGAGTAACCCAATGACAAAAAGAACTTCGATGGAAAAGGGAGCTATACCTGTGGCTTTTGGGGAAGACAGCTTGGAGTCTTCCAAAGCTTCTTTGGCTGATAAGACAGAAGACACTGCTTTGGTGTTTACTGAAAGCAGAAATGAGACCAAGGCAGTAAAGCATGGTAATGGTTCGGATGGAAGAGCTTTCTTGTGTACTGATGGGATTAAAAATGGAGACCTGTGTATCTCAGCTGAGAGACAGATGAATTCTGACTTGGACAGCTCAAAGCTGAAGAGTTTGGATGCTTCCAGAACAGTCACAACAAAGATTAGCCTGTAAGTAACATAAACTAGTTTACCTTACCCCTGTAGCTGTAATTGTGCCTGTATCTGTGTTTAGGATTCTATAGGAACGCTAGCAATGTATCTGTTATCTATCTAGATTATTTTCAATTAAGAACTGCCTTTTTAAAAAATCTAGCATAATTACAGTTACCACTTAATAAGCACTGTAGTTTACATGTGTTAGAAAAATAATTATTTTTTTCTATTCTTTTTTCATAGACAGGGAATTTCTTTTTATATCGATTTGATTATATGGAACAATTTAACATACATAAAAGCTGCTCTGTCATCATTGTCAGTGCCCCTGTTGTTGCTCAGATTAGCTTGGCTGTCAGTGACCTTAATGTATTTTTTGCTGCCTGAAACCAACTGAGGATGTGGTTGAAGATTTTTGTATGTAAAAATCTTTGAATAAGGAAGGTGTTCAAGTTGTTCTTTGAAACAACATAAGTTCTGCTATTAGAAGAAATGTAGGATGAAATGTAGAACTTGATCCTTCAAATGATATGAAAAATCACACTCCAGAAATTTGAATACGTATAGTTGCTTTCGTAAGTCTGTGCAGGATGAATCATGTGAATTTTTATGCATATGTATAACATCAGGTATTAGCAGAATTATGCATATGTTAGTTTGCAGAGTTTGGTTTTACACTCAAAGAAATTCTCCTCTGTCAAACAGAGGTAATCAGTGCTTTCCTTAGGATTATAAAGAAGTGAATGCATTTATGGCTTTCATTGTAATCACTAGTATGAGTGCCGTGATTGATTTCCTGGATTCTCTTCTACAGTGAATCATTTTATTACATTCGTAACTTCTGTTGTTTAATTGTCATGGCTATGTGCTCTCTGCTATTGCTTTCCGCATTCTGCTACGTTCATTTGTAGGTGTCAGAGTACATTGAATCCTATAGGCCCACACGGGGTACACCAAGCGTTCAGAATCATTGTTCAGCTGAGTTAGGGGGATGTGAAGGTTCAACATTATGGCTTAAGAAGCACGTAAGTTTCCAGTTATGCTTCCCTCATGTGAGAAGCATAGGAGCGTTAGGAAACAATTTCCTTTGCACCATTTGTAGTGCTCTACATCCGATTTGTTCGTTTGTAACTGGATTGAAAACACCTAGCACTGAAAGTTAAATGGTGGTATTTTTGTACGTGGTCATGCTTTGCCATCTGGCAGTATAGCTCACACGTGTTATACTCTAAAGTTTTCTATCTTCATAACTTCAAAGAAAAGGTAGCTTTCATATTTTTCTCTTTGTGTCACTGTCATTAGTGGTGATGAAGCTGTAAATGCTTGCGTAGCTGGGTTTCATTTTTCTAGGTATCTCCTTGGCTTGTTGTGCAGTGAATTATCTTCTGCTGTGCTCATAAAGTAATAGACCGGTATCCTTTCTGACAGATGTAATTTTAATGAATAAACAGCCTGTTCTAATTCACCTGATTTTGCGGGGTGTGTGGCTCACTGTCTTGGCCTTATCTGCTGCTGTAGGAACTTTAGCCCTGGGTGGGACCGCTGTCTTGCGTGCAGGGTTCCTGATGCATCTAATAACTGTGTGGAACTGTGGAATGACAGCTTCTTTAGCCAGACAAATTGATGTGATCAGATTGCCTGCTGTAATTTGTAGTTGTTGATCAGAACACATGAACTATAAACCTGCATGTGGATTAAGCTGCTGTAAAATGGGAAAGAAAAAGATGATGCCATTACTAGCAGGTGCTGTGGTTTGTTCTCCTGTTATTGCTTTAGCGAACAGGTAACTTTTCTGTTGTCAAAGGTTAGAAAATTGTTAGGTGCTTCATAGGAATCCCTTTCAGGTTGAAAAATACTCATTTATTCACCGACTTGTTTGCCTCATACAAGACGGATTTTGTATAGTCAGAGTAGTTTTCACTTAATGCATAACGTCTCTTCCTAAGTGACATTGTGCCAATTCTGGGAATCAAGTTTCTTTAGAAACTATTTTTAAAGAAGTCGGTTTTGCTGGTTCCCTGCAAGTAATGGTAGCATTTTCTGTCTTTTCTCCTTTTATGTCTGTCTACTGGGAAACTTGGAAGTCATGGGATACTTTGCTTCTAGCTTTTGAAAGGGAAACCTATCAGGTTTGAGAATAAACTGAGGTTGATGGTACATCTTAATCGGCAAATAAAACCTCAGGCAGTAGTTACTTTGATGTGCTTAGCGGAAAACTTGGCTTCAGTTGTCATATTTGATGTTCAGACATGGTTTTGTAGTTGCCTTTGCATTTATGCCCACTTATTGAATTATTCTGCTCTGTTAACACACTGTTTTCCTTTGCTCACCTCAATCTGATTTTTTGGCATCGGTATTTTTTGGCATCAGTTACCTGCTTGACATGGTCGTTTGGACAGTATGCTTCAACTAGGTGACTCACCTTCCATTTATGACTGTATTGGGAGAGGTTTAACTGCTTGCTTCCACAGGTTAGCTGCAAGGTGTAGCCAAAGAGGAGGACATGAGTATTTCTCTTGTGCCTGCTTGTTCCCGGCATTGTAGATCAGCAGTGGGTAGTAGGAATCAACCACACTGGCCTGTTTGCATGAAAGCATTTGTGCTGTTAAGGGACTCTTTCAGTCCTTCTCCCCCCTACTGGAAGAAGAGCTTAAAGGACACTCAGACAACATCTCCTCCTTTTAAACAAGCTTAGAAACTCAGTTCTTGCAATAAGGCACGTCTTTTGGCTGTGTTTAACACCAGTATTTCTTAGTGTGGAAAAAGGCGTAGTGAAAAGATGAGTTGGAGGAGGCCTGCTGTGGTGGATGGAGCTCCAGGGCTGAGCTTTCTATTGCTCTTCAGTCTCACCTCTTTTGCTTCTGTGCAGAAATATTGCAGAATGTAAACTACAAAGTGCTGAAGTGGTTGTTTCTTCATAAATTTGCAAAGCTTGAAACTATACCTTTGAGGTGTTAGCTGTTCATTTACAATGGATTTGAGGCGTGGCTGATAACTATCAGTGTTAACCATTAAACTTGCTTATGTCAAGGCATACATGGAGAGATGGATTTTATTAGGAAGATATGTTTTGTTATGTTGAAATGCACACAGCAGTGCAAGTGACAGGCTGACAAAAGGATGGTGTGGAAATGAGTCTGTTAAGATAACTAGGCTGTTAGCAATACCTCTTGAAAATACAGGTAGGAGAGGATAACTACCTTTTTCTGATCAAAAAAGGACACAAAAGGTCTTGGTGAACAGCTAATTCAGCATGTGTCAGTAGTGCATCCTTGTAGCAGATGAAGACTAAGCCTGTGTTGGGCTACTTGGGCTTGAGTATAGTCAAGAGCTCATGAGGCTGCACCTGAGGTATTACATCAACTTGTACCCCTCCCTCCTCTTCCAAGTCTTCTCTTGGTATAAAAGGTATGTTCACAAATTGGAATGAGTCCAGCAGTACGCCATTAAGAAGGTGATGGCACTAGAGCATACCAAGTATGAGGAGAAGCTGAAGCAGCTTGATTTGTTCAACTGAGAGAAGGACATGGATAGACCTCAATGACCTCTCCTTACCTATAGATGTATTAGAGAGAAGGGAGAGCCAGATTCATCCCAGAGATGTGCACTGAAGGGACAGTGGCCATGGTTGCAGGTTGCAACAGTGAAGTTTCAATGGCATATAAGGCAAAAATAATTCACAGTGACAGTGGCTGACCTGCTGACTTAGTCAGACAAAGCCTTCAACCACTTGCTGTAACTTTGAAACTGTCCCTGTTTTGAGCAGGAAGTTGGACTAATTGACCTTCAGAGGTCCCTTGCAACTTGTATTCATTTTCCAAAAAGAAAAAATCATAGCATAATTTAACTTTGAAAAGTTCAGGAAAAACAGTCATACTGCAAATGAAAAATAGTGTCTAAATATATTTAATTGTATGCTGTGTCGTAGTTCCCTCCCTGCCTTCCCTCTTTCAGCACTAATTTTTTTCTGTTTCTCGACTTGAATTTTCCAAGGGTATTTTATTAGAATCATAGAATCATTAGGTTGGAAAAGACCCTTGGGATCATCGAGTCCTTGATCCCATCAATCCCTTGGGATCATCAATTAGCACCTATCTGAATTATGGCCAGTTCTTTATATGTTAATGTTTCCCTTTTTATTGATCACATGTTCTTCATAAGAGCCTTCCAGTTGTGAACCAGCTTGAGCAGGCTGGTAGTTACAGTGAGCACTGTCAGGAAGTCTTCTCGAAAAAGACATGGTGATTTTTCACAGTTGCTTTCTGTGTAGATTTGTAGGGATTTTGGGTTCCTTCTGTTCCTTTCTGTTATTTCATTAAGTTTGTTCCTCATGCTTTTCCCAAGAAAAACTTGCACAATGGAGAGTCTTGCTTTATTAAGATTGACTTTCTTATGTGGGATGGATCTATTGAGGAAGAAGAGAAAGGGGTGATCGCAGGTTTTGGGTTGTTCCTGTTAATTCATTTGTACCTCAGAGCTGTCTGAGAGCTCAGTGAACACAGTTTGAGTATGTAAAAAAGAAGGCGGCACCTAAATACCAGAATCATCCATTGATTGATAAAGCGTTTGAGGTTCTAGAGATTGTTGCTGCTAGTTTCTTTGGTCTCCCACCGTCCTCAGTTTTCACATAGTACAGTTTCTGCCTGTTCTCCCACTGCTGAGTGTCTCCAGGTTCCTCTTTGGAGAACAGCTCTGCCTTTAAGGCGATGGTAGGCACCTTGACACTCCTTATATATGACTGATAAATTGAAGACATGTGCCCTGCATCTTCACAGCTGTTCATACTGTTCCTGCAGTAGCAAGTGACATGGACAACTGTTTTTTCTTGGATGTAGGTATTCAAAGGAAGAAGGCTTAGAACCCTCAGCTGCATGTCGTCAGCCTTCTGCCATAGTGCATGAGTACTCTGTGCTACGTACTTGTACACACTTCTCTATCTGCTCTGATGGAGAAGTTTCTACAAGTGTTTCCTGATTTGATTCCTCTAAAATCATCAGGGTTAGTTTACACAATGTAAATTGTTGGCTGATTTTACCTGAAGGAAATGGGAGAGTCTTTGCTTAGTCAAGTGGTGATGCAGTGACTAGGGAGAGCTACCCTTTCCACCAGCACTAATGGACCCAGAAGAGGACTTTGGCTCGATTCAGGATTACTTCTGCAGTGTAAGGGCTGCAAAGAATCTGGGCAGATGTCTTCAAAACTTGTTGGAGAAGTATATTCAAATGTTAACCAACTCATTATCACCTTAATGAATTGGGATTTGTTTCTTAAACTCTGTAGGGAATTCATGTGTGTAATTTATTCTGCCTATTTACTATTAAATTTTAATGTCTGTCAGTCATAAGTAGTTCTCTGCCTCAATTGCAGATGCTGTAGGCTGCTGTGTCTTTTGTTTTACCAAGCATTAAAGAACAACGTACATGTTTGAAATGTATCCTTCTTATTTACTGTATAATTTCTTTTTGTCACTGGTCTAGTTACTCCTTTTTTTAAGTTAATTACTTTTGAGATACCAAAATTTAAACTGAATATGACTATGGAAAATTTCATTACAATGTTACATTTATTGTTTTGAAACTTGTTACAAGTCTTTTCAAGATTAATCAACGATGTAACTCTGTATCACTTTGCCTCCCATAGTCCAGCCAAACCGAAGAATGTAGAGCTGAATTTTAAAGCATCTACGAATCAAGACAGTTTAGAAAGTGAGCAGGATACTCTTGAAAAACCAGTTAATAAAACTAACAGCAACATCGCCAACAAAATTTCCTTGTTTGAAAATAAATGTGCTAACCAGACCCAGAGGCCTGCTGACATCCCTGCTTCAAAAAATAGCACTGTACCAAGCACGTTTGTTGGCAGAGCAAAGCTGAAATTTGGAAAACAACCTAAGGAAAGTGAACAGCCTGATAAAACATTAAATAAGCAAAGCAGTCGCCAGAAGTTGTTTGAGAATGGCACGGCAGAGAAAGAAAGCACTGCAGAAGTAAAAGGCAAAAATGAAGAAAGCTCTGCCTTTTGTGAGGACATTGGGAAGACAACAGAACTTAAAGTAAAGGCGGCTATATCCCTTTTTAACCAAAGCAGCAAAATTGATGCTAGTAGTGTCTCTCTGAAGCAACCCGATCCAGAGCTAACCACAGCTAAAAAAGAAAGTTTGCCTTTAAAACTGTCTTTCTCCTCACCCAGCAAAAGTGAAAATGCTCAAGATACTTCCTACCAAAGAAATAACACGAGCTCAGAATTCCACAGAAATGAAGAAAAGGTGCTGCCAAACACAGAGGTTTTATCACCTAGTAGTGAAGGTAAATATTCTCTACCATCTCATCAGGTTTCTAGATCAGAATTTAAGAAGATGGAAAATGGAGATAAAAAGGCAAAGCTGGGAGATCTGAGCTTTGCAGCACTACCGAGTGATGACAGCAGTCAGGACAGTACATTGCTATCAGAGCACAACATCAATACACAAAAGAGCCCAGGCAAAACCTGTAATGGGTCTGCTGAAGACGACAGCGTTTTTGATTCCCCGACAGACATGAAGAAGTTTGCTGAAACAATAAAAAACTTGGACAGCTCAGTTTGTTTACCCCAGAAAAAGAAGAGGTCAAAGCTTCCCAAGTCCCCAGCACCCCACTTTGCAATGCCTCCCATTCATGAAGACAACTTAGAGAAAGTATTTGACCCTAGCGTATTTACTTTTGGTTTGGGACTGAGGAGGGAGAAAACACAGGATCTGTTACCAGCCCAACAAATTAAAATGCAAAGCCTGGAAACAATAGCCAGAGTCAGGCCCAAGCGTGCATCAACAGAGCAAAGCATCATATTCAAAGCCCTGCAGTCATGTAATAGAGAGGAACCTGCCTTTACTCAGGAAATAAATGGAAAAGAGAATGTTGATGGTACAGATGGTGAAATTAAGAGATCCCGGCTTGAAAAAAGCTCCCTCTTCTCAAGCTTGCTGTCTTCTACATCTAAAGAAAAGTTTTTTAATCCTTCTGTCACCTCAGTAAATAATGCTGCAGCAGGTTTCCCAGCTGACTCCTCAGGGATGCCTCCTTTACAACAGGATGCTTCTGGGCCATTCGGCATGCCTCAAAAATCGGAGGTAATAAAGATCATTCATGAAGTACAACCACGTAAATTTTTGTCTACCTGCTGAATGACTGTTAATTTTGATTTTTGCAATTCAGTCTTTTTCAGATATGAAGTTTCCAAGTTTTGTGGAGAAGTACATGCAAGCAGATAGTGCAAAAAAAGAACTAAGTTTACAAATGCCCAACTATGGGAACCCTGAGAAAAGTTTTTCCAGCTGGTTAGGGACAAGCAGATATGAATCCAATGTCCCCAGTGGTTTATTAGATGTGGATGTAAGTATTGTGGTGTTTAAAATCTGTCCGGAATGTTATCCCGCTTTTGTGTTTTTATAGACAATATGGACACATTGTTTTTTTTGGTTTTGTTTTCCCTCTTAGGGGCATACATAGATTACAAATATATAGAGCTGAATGTAGGTATGGTACCAGTTTAATCTGATGTTGGCTATATATGAAAATGAGATGGCATCTATTAACATGATGATGTTTCTTCATAGTGCCTTTATTTTGAGAGTCTCCACAAATATGAATTGAAAGTGTATGTTTGAATACGTCTTCATACCCGATTTTGTATTTTTGAAAGAAATCTCATGCTAGTTTTATTTTTTGTTGTAAATTAGTGGAATGCTTTATATGAACTTCAGAAAACCTGTGCCTGTTTCTTCTGTAACAGTAATCCCTTTTTTTTCCAGGATGACAATCAGCCATTGCACTGTTAAATGAGTTGCAGGGCAAACTGGTTTTTTTAGCCCTCTGGTTTTGTTACCAATATACCCATGCATTTGATAGAAAAAATATATTCTTTAAGAACACTTTAAGAAGTGGATAGGGGTGATTATTGAAAGTGCTGCTACAGTCGAGGGCTGTTCCTTTGTCTGATGATGAGCATCGATTCATCATGAGCGAAAGCAGAGCTCCGTTTTTGCTTTTAGGTAACTTTACCTTAATGTAGGAGAATTTCCAAGGCTAATAGTTACCTGCTGTCACAGTTCTACTGAAAAGGGTGCAGGAACAGTAGAAGTAACTATTTCCTTCACCTTGCAGAAGGAAATCCATGCTATCTTGCAATTTTGAGGATGTAGATTTTTCTCTCGTGGGAAGTTTTTTAGCTATTGTAGGTATGAAAATTAGGGGGGTTATTTGCAGTGGTGTAGACTTATTCTGCTGGTTAAAGAGGCTTCCTTACTCCGGATGGTCCTGCTTGGATTTCAAAACCTGAGTTTAAAGCTAAATGACTAGTACTGATTTTTATTTTTTTTTTCCTACTTAAATCTGTCGTTCCTGAGAGGGTTTCAATTTTTCAGTAGAGTGTGGAGACCTGGTATGGCAAGGGAGTATATACACACATAAGGCTGCTCTTGCGAGAAGCCTGTTAGGCTCATGTAGGGTTCCAGGACTTCTGCAGCACTGTTGCTGTCTCTGAAGTGCCTTGCTTAGGTTAGACAGGAACCAAAAATGTTTGCATGATGTGTACCTACTGTGCGTCTTCCACTGACTTAAAAAATGAGGATACAATGGCTAATGGGTAACGTGAAGGAAAAGAGTAAGAGCAGTCCAAAACAATGATTTTGGTATTCCTTAAAACACAGGGCAAGTTCTAACTGGAACCAATGCACAGTCTAATAAAAAACCAGTCATGCTTCAACGTGTCCTGATAGTGCCTACAAAAATCTGATGGTGGTTGGGAACTCTGTCCCAAGATCACTGCCTGACCTATGTGCTGATTAATATGTTCTCATTAGTTCCTTGCATGTGTTGCTGGTTATTTTAAACTGCAACCTGTTTTAGGGGCAGGATTTGTTTGGGTTTGTTTGTTTGTATGAATAGTTCCTAGAAGAGCAGGACCCTGTCGCAGAATGAGCACTCCTGTCCTTGCTAGGAAACCAAATGCATAATTGCAACACTTTCTTCATTTGTTCTAAGATGATGTGGTGCAACCATAACTTTCCCATATATTCTATGTTGTATAATTTATTACAGACTTCAATATTGTTTTAGATTTTGTATACCTTAATGTATTTTATTTGTTGTGGCATTTTACTCTATCACTTACTGTACAGTGTCTCACGCTTTTTGAAGAAACCTAACTTGTTACAAGCTGTTCAGCACAAAATTGATTATGCTAATTAGTTCATACATAAACATACCATGTCTTCTCAGTCTTTCCATATATTCCCCCAAAATTATTTCATGCTTTATGGATACTAGACATTTAAACTTTCACTACTGTTGTTATCGTTGTAGAGCATGTATTTTATTAATGCCAATTTTTAAAGTAGTCTCTTGGTATGAAACTCCTGCAATATATAGGCAGTTGATCAGATGGATTTTAAAGCATTTCAAGTCTGAGGTTAGTTGGCTTCAGTGAGATGATAATTCAGTTTAAAAAAAAAATAAATATATATCCAAAGTGTATAAATTTGTATACAATTATAACTTGTAAGACACTGCTCTTCTTGAGGAAGAAGGAATTGAAGTAGTAAGTAGGTGTAGTTAAAGTGTTATCAGCTTTTTGTGATTCTGACTAGTTTCTGTTTTGTTTCACTAGCTCTTTTTTATAGCTGAGTGTCTGTATAGGATAAGTTTTTGGTTTGTGGTGGGGTTTTTTTGTGACTTTTCTCTCTTCACTACTAGGCACTTTCAAGAAATGGACAAAGTAAAATCAATCCCAGACCTGGCAAGGTAAGATTAATTTTATGATCTTTACTGTTCCTTTCTATATTTAAAGCATAGCAAGATAGAATTATATGTTGTTGGTGGTTTGGTTTTGTTTTTTTGTTTTTTTTTTTACCACAGCTGATGATATACTGTGAATCAGACTATCAAAAAAATGCTATTGAAGTTTTCCATGATGTTCCAGATTGCAGTTCTTGGGTTCTATCGCCAACAATTTTAGTTAAAGTCATCAGAGGATGGTAAGAGATTAATTTTTACTCTTCATCAATGATCTGTCCAAAAATCTTTAGAAACAGAACCAGTGTGTAAGTAAGTCTGCCTCGCAAATGGCAATGTAACGTAGACATCTATGAGCAAGAAACGTGGCGTTGTACCACTGCAATAGGAAGTTCTGGTCAGAAAACTTACCTTGTTGACAAATTGAGTGAGTGTTATCATCTGGAGGGGTGCAACATCTCACCAGGCATAGGGGTGGGATGAAATGACAGATTCTGGCCAGCTGTGCTGCCCTTTGACTGCTGTCCCCTTTATGGGTGCTTGCATAGTATTTGGGTTGGACTAAAAGGCGAGCAAAGGATTTTAAAGCCAGGTCTGAGGTGGGTTTGGATGCAGAAGATTAATTCCATGTCCAAAGGTGGTGCTGTAGAGGGAATTGTTTCTCTCGTGAGTTGAGAGGGAGTTTTTCTCTAGAAGTTAGATTGCCTGAGAGGAATTCAAGCCAAGTTAATCTCCTACGTTCTTCATAACATTAACAGAACAGCCATTATTAGTGTGGATAGCATGGCAAGCGTGGCAAGTTAAGTTGTGGTCAGGCTATAATGCAGGCAAATAGCAGGTTCTCAACAGTAATGATCTGATAGTAAGCTGCAGAAACAAGGGCTAGCTGCAGTAGGAGGTACTGGGAAGCACAGTGCTGGTTAGCTTGAGAAAACAAATGAAAATCTTCTGATCTGTGTGAACCAGCATGGACTAGGGGGCTGCATTCTCCCCCTATTCCCCTGTTCAACTGAGAGCTCCAGGGGAGGGTTTTATATTTGCAGATGGGTATAGTTTTTTATATAGTTATATATTCAAATCTGTGGTTAAAAATAAAGTTGTGCTTGTCTTCTGAGAGTTCTTATCATCCTTTGGCACATCTTTACCAGCCCCTGTGGAACTCCAGGCCGCTGTTCACAGGATCAGAGTAGCTTCTCTGTTTATACTTGACACAGCAGTCTGCGCTGTCAACGTTTTCTGACCTATAAATTGGTCCTGATTAGTACCTTATGCAAAAGTCTGGTATTCATAGACAGTAGCCTTGCTGCCCCAAATCATCAATTTAAAAAGGCGGGGGAGTTTTTGATGGAATTACAAAGTCAGCAGTAGGCATCTTTGTGTTTTTATGATTGCTTTTAAAAATATCACAGAGACCAGGAATGACTTAAATCAGCTGTATTGGGGTGGCGGGAGGAGTCTGGAAATAATACTTCTTGTGAAAGGATTTGTTAAATGGGATCATGATTTTTGCAAATCACACTTGATAAAGCACAATTAAAAATGAGAATTTTTTATTTTAAGCTGGATACTCTATGAGAAACCAAATTTTGAAGGCCCCTCTATTCCATTGGAAGAAGGAGAGCTGGAATTCCCAGATATTTGGGGTGCAGGTACTTCTGAAGAGCAAAATGAATCCAAATCTCTAAAGCCTACAGTGATTGGTTCAATAAGACATGTTGTTAAGGCAAGTAATAGAAGTAAAGAAAATTTTATATGTTTTGTGATGTTTTGTATTGATACAAAGAGTGATTGGTGTAATAGGACACAAGTGTAGCGTGGGTTGTAAATGCATGAAACCATCTTCCACACTGAATTTCTTGTTTAATCACAAAATAAATGTGGGCAGTTTGTCCACGATGGGGACACGTTTGTCCACGATGGGGATTGTGGTAACATCCACTGGAAGGATAGGGCAGGAAAAAAACTGAGTGGTTTTCATTAGTATAGCCTCCAAAATGCGATGTACAGCATATGCTTTTTAGCCTGGTCAATCTCTCAGGATAAAAATCCCAGAAAACTTATCAGTAGTTCCACAGATTCATATTTTCAGAAGCGTGTGTGTGTGTTGTTCTTTTCTTTTTTTTAATATAAAGCAAATTTACACTCAACATGAACTTTAATGTCAAACACTGAACCTTGTTTGTTACTCAAAAAGTAGTCCTGTATACACAAATTTAGCAGGGAGCTTCATGCGTGGTGGAACAGCCTTCTTACATGCACTTTTAACCTACTATTAAGTAGTTACCTTTGCAGGTTGCACAAACAAGTATGAGCTATAAAGTGACTTGACTAGGACAGGAAAAAGGAGGAATATATATTGCTTGTAACTACAATTCTTGTTTAAATTGCAGTTCTCTTCAAGAATGGCTTGCTTGGTGTTATGTTAGGATTTAATTTGCTAGAGGAGATGTTAAGTGATGAAAGAAGATGCATTCCTAGATGGCAGAAAGTAAACAACGTAAATGTTGATTATAGATTGACTGACTGTTTTGGTCCAAACAGAGACAGGAAAACTGGCGCAGTTATACTTTTATTATAGGCACCTAATAGCAGCAGTAATTGACAAGAGGGGAAACATTTTAAAATAAACAGGTGTTTCGACGCTGATTTAGTTATCTGCATTAATTACAGAACTTGCAGCACAGACTAAGTGATCATGGCAATCTTCATTTTTTCAGGATTACAGGGTTTGCCGAATTGATTTGTATACGGAACCTGAAGGCTTAGGAATCGTGACTTCCTTTTTCGACGACACGGAAGAAACAGGGGTGTTCGGCACCACTCAGAAGACTTGTTCTATCAAAGTACACTGGGGCATGTAAGTGCCTAGTTCTGCATGAACGTGTACTGCTATGAAAGGAATTTGTTTTAAACCATTGGTTACACCTATCAGACATGCAAGCAGGCTGTATTTATTCTAGTCCTATATTTTGGCAGTATTTGTTGACAGTAGCATTAGAAATCATTGTCATGCTTGACTCTTGAGGAGGTTGACCTCTTAATGTTTTGTGTTAGAGCCAGCTTTTCTTCCGCTTGCGTGTAGTAAAGACAGAGTAACCCTTGTGCATTTATAGCAAAGGAATGAGTTTGCCCCTCCTGCTTTTTCTGATGAACTGTTGTGATAAGACCACATTTCCTACTTGCTTTCCTCTAAACTTGAAATCATTGTACTAAAATAAGAGAATTCTCAAGCCCTTGTGTTACAAGACAAGACTTAGTGTCTCGTGTGGACTCTGGAAAGCATTTTTGTATTTCAAGGTGCGTTTTAATCAGTGTTTTTATGGTAATGTTTAGGACACAGATATATGTCACCTGCAAACATCTGGTCATCTGAGTATAGTGTATGTCATGAACTAAGGGAGCATTTATGAGAAAGGAGACCTCTGAGGAGCAATTCAGACAGTAGTTTTGGTAGCTTAATAAACAAACTTGTAAATCAGTATTGAAAATATGCCTCTATAGTGGTACTGGGAAAAGTATGCAGAAGAGGGAGGCTGCTTTCAGAAAAAGTGAGAGTGGAATCATTTTCAATGATGCTGGGTCCTGCAGAACGTTTTAAGGGTTGGTTGTTACCTGTTGGCCATGTTGTGTTTGGGCACTGATAGCAGTCACCCTGCTGCAAATGGTCTATTTAACTATCAAAACCTGTCCCACTGAAGATAAGTGTTCCACACCACTGCAAAGAGGTATTCAAATAAGTTACATGATAGATGGGGCATTTCAGTTGTTCAGTAAAGGGTATTCTCTCTGATTAAATCTTTACTCCTTGGTTTGGGGGAAAAATGAGGTAGTTGGGCTGCAACCTTAATCCAAATTACACCTGCCAAGAGTAAGGAAATCAGGTATATTATTTGAAGGTTGATTATTAATTGACTTCATCTACCTCTCCACTTTATTTCTGTCGCTCACTTAAAAGCATTCTGTGAATAGTGAAATTACAAAATTTTTTGGAAAGGAAGCAGAGTGTGCACATCCCTCAGACTTCAGACCGGTCCTTATTTTGCATCAGTGTGACAGTGTTCGTAGTGTTTAGTTTACGCTAAACCTGTGTAAACTCTTAGTGTCATAATTTCACTCTTGCATTTGAATCCCCTGAGGGGAAGCAAACTAATATTTGCACCAGGAAACAAAACAGACAGTTGAAAAATAATCATAGAATCACAGAATGGTTTGGGTTGACAGGGACCTTAGAGGTGATCTAGTTCCAGCCTGCCATGGGCAGGGGCACCTTCCACTAGACCAGGTTGCTCAAAGCCCCATCCAGCCTGGCCTTTTTCAGATGTCAGTTTATTAGTCCAGTGTAGAAAGAAGTCGCTTCTGCCACTTGCTCACATGAGAAACTCAGGAGATTTTTCCTGCTTTTTTTTACATGTTGCAGGGTTTTTCCTTTCCCTTGGTTTACAGGTATAACATAGTGCACTCTCTTGGCAGTTGAGGGAGGCTCTGAGTCACCTTGCCATGTGGGTGTGGTTGTATCTTCTTAAGGTTTCCCAGCGTTCGTGGTTAATTGTTGTTTACTGAAAGCTGCCAACAAAAATGAGTCAATGCACCTTTATCTTCTGCTTGTACTGTCTCCTTGTTCTTCCATGTGTTTAAATTCTTGCAGTGAAGTTGAGGGCTTACTGAGCGTTGCGACCACAGGACACACAATATATCAAACATTCAGCTATAGACAGCAATAAAACTAAAAGTAAAGTTTTGCAGTTTAGTATGAATTTTATGCTCCTCCATGCTGCACTTCAGAGAGATCAGTAAATGTAACTGGAAGAAATACATTGCCAGCCTTATGCAGAGACCAGCAGTATGTTTCTTTGTTTCCAGTAAGTGATTACTGGCTAAGATTTTCTTGAAAAAGTTTTGAAAAGCTACTGTTGCTGTCCCAATTAGGAATTCTGAAAGTTACGTCTTTCAAAGTAGAATTATTAGCAGATACAAACCATGAGGAAGTAGATTTCTAAGGAGTTGTCAGGGTTTTCTTTGTATTAGTAAATAACACAAGTTTAGAATTCTCTATTGAACAGATTTTGCAACAAATTCAAGTCTAGCTTAGTAGAGATCTTTCCAGTTCTTGAAAATTCATTCAGCGTATTTTAAAACTATTCTAAAAATTACACAGAGTAAGCTTTAGTCTTGAAACTTCAGAGTCAAATGCTTAACTGTCTCTTCATTGTACTGACTTTTTTGTTTGGTTGGTTGGGGTTTTTTTGCCTGTTCAAACAAAGCATATGCATTATTGGTGGTTCCTGCACCGGCACAGAAGTTTGCCAGTATGTCAGCTTGTAGTTGACCATTTTGATGGTAAAGAAACAAAGTTTTATTAAGTATACAATGATGTCTTTTCTAAAGCAAGCACGTTGTCCTGTTCTTTACTGATCAGAAGTGTTCTGGGGTTTTTATATTTTCCTTTCCTCTCTCCCTTACTTTAGATGGCTGATTTATGAAGAACCTGGTTTCCAGGGAGTTCCTTTAATGTTGGAGCCCGGTGAATATCCTAATTTAGCATTTTGGGAGAAGAAGGAAGCCTACATTAGGTCTATGAGGCCCTTGAAAATGGTAAAGTATTGCTATTACTAGCAAGTTACATGACCTACGTTTCTATGATAGAAATAATGTGTTGAGGTGGATAGTTTTTTCAAGACTTACAAAAAAGTAACTCTTCAAAAACAATTTTTAGTCTATGAAATTCTTGAATCGTCAATATTTGATTGCATCCACTTCTGCCTTTAATCTGCCTTCCTGTTTTCACTTGTGTTCTTCAAGGAAGATTTCATCCTCTGTTTTTTTGTGAAGAGTTGATGACTCTTACAGTTGCCTGGTTATACTTAGATAACTTATTTTTTCTTTTTTCTTTTTTTTAACAGGGTGGTCGCAAAGTTGAATTCAGTGGGGAGCCGAAGGTAAAAGTCAATATTTGTTTGATTGTCCAAAGGTATTTTATAACACGTAAACTACATGTGGGTAGCTAAATATATCTTGATCGTGTACCAGCTACTGGTGGCTTAATGGCTGGTCCTGCTGTATGTAACCACACCATGAAACTGCAATTTCTGTCTGTTTATGCATCTATCATATATGATGTCATATTTATGACCACATTAATAGCAATCTGGATAATACAGATGGGTAGTGAACATTCAAGCCCTCATGTTGCATTTCTAAGAGAAAGACATCTTGAAGAGAATAGAGAGATCCCACTAATTAGCTTCATGATCTTGCCTTGTCACTCTATGTGCCCTTGCAAAAGAAACTGACTGTCGTCAGAATTTATCATGCTCTCTGCAACTTTTCTTTTACTACGTTTCCACTACAGGTAATCATTTATGAGAAGCCTTTCTTTGAAGGGAAGCATGTGGAAATAGAATCAGAGATCTTTACGCTTGATGACAAGGAAGCAGGAGAAAAGACAAGACTTCCATTTACATCAGTGGGATCCATGAAAGTACTGGGAGGAATGTAAGTGGGAAAACACCAGCAATATTTCCCTTCACTGAGGTAGTAACTTCATAGGCTGGAAACTGCAGTGGACAAATTTAACACCCATTTATTTTCTCTCATTTTCTAGCTTTTGGGTTTAGAGATATGCCTGGGTTAAATTTGCAAATATTCACAGCAAAAGAACAAATTTCACCCATCTGTGTCTGCTCTATAACAATGTGGAGCAGCAGTTGTTCATTTTCACACACAGATTCTGTTGTTGTTTAGTTGGGTCGCTTATGAGAAGCCTGGGTTTGAAGGCCATCAGTACTTGCTGGAAGAAGGAGCTTATCGGGACTGGACGGACTGGGGCGGCTACGATGAAGAGTTGCAATCACTGCGACCCATCGTTGGTGTAAGTTCCAGGAACACGTGGTAGGCAATCTCCTGAGTGCACTGAGATGTCCTGTTGCATTGTCCTTATGATGCTTCTCTTTGTTTTAACAGGACTTCACCAGCTCCCATATGATAATGTACAGTGAAAAAGACTTTGGATCAAAGGGTTCCAATATTAACGTGTTAGGAATTATTTCCAATTTGAAAGACACTGGATACGGGCTGAGGACGCAGTCTATAAATGTGCTAAGTGGCGTGTAAGTGATATTTTTAAGTACTGCCTAATTTTAACTGTGCTATGCTTTTTAGAATTTGGTAGTATTTGCAGATGTTTTTTGGCACGCTGACTGCTAATGTCTATGTAGAGTCTTCAGATAAAATTTTCTGCCCTTGAATGCAGAATGTGAAAAGAAGTTTTTGTGAATAAGTACAGTAAATTGGTTTTCTTCTCATGATGAGATCAGGTGGTTCCAGGAAACGTTGACTTACTGATACACAAAGTATGAAAGTATGACATTTCATCAGAAAGGTAGAAATAGCTTGTTCTTGTGGCTGTATTTTTTCTTTATTTTAAATACAGTTGTGTTTCAACAGCAAAATTGTTATGGAACTAATTTTCAGTTTTGAAACTAGTTTCCAGGCTTCTTGTGTTTGACCAGAGGCAGATTCCTTGCTCTTTTTCTCAGTTGTGTGTAAAACTCTTACCATGCTCACTAGGACATTCTGATATTAAGGAGACTTCTGAAAAGTAATACTGCTTTTGCAGTGAATCCTATGGGTTAATAGCATTTTAGTACTGTGGCATTGGGTTTTTTTAAATGGGGTTTTTTAACACAGTGGTTCCTAAAACTTTGGATTGGCGCGGTCGTTAACAACTCTTCTTACTGTGTGTGACAACACACATGGCAGAAACAGTTGATAGACTTCCTGTTTCACAGCCTTGCAATCTGCATCCAAGTGTTTTGGAAATACAAACAAATATTGGCAATCATGTCTCCAAAGACACAAAACTGCTTGAAGTAGTAGAACGGAAAGAGCATGAGAGGCATAGTCCCTGTCTCTGCCTGGTATGCAGGCGACTTGCTAAACGCTCTGCCTTACCCAGCCACACCCAAAATCCTTCCCTGGGTTATCTGTGTGATATCTCTGCAAGTTTTGTCTGGATAAAGATTGCAGAATCAAGCTCGGTGCATTCCAAAGGAATGCTTTTAATCTGTACATGAGCATGGTGCGACGGCAGGTTTTTTTTCTGCCTGGTGACCTTTGAAGCCACTTGTGTCCTTTTGTTTGCTGGAATATGCAGGGGAGATTCATGGGAAAGAGTCACCTCTGAAGGCTGGGAAACAAACTGGGTTACCTATCACACCCTTTGTGTAGCTGCTCTAGTAAATGTGGCTGTTGCAGCTGAGATAGGAATCATACTTGAGTAATTAAGAGTGACTTTAATGCTCTGACGGTAAAGGCAGCTAGAAGTCATTACAAACAAAACTCTTGTCCCACAGACTCTGCTACTGCTCTTGTAATCTCACCTTATAGTCTCTTAAAGATGCAATTTGTAGCAATCAGCTTTATAAAAATTGAGGTGCATTGTTCATTACAGATGAGTAGCACTCAGCTCTTACCAGTCTTGTACGACCCTTTTGTTTCCAAAGAGGCTGTGAGTGGTGGTGTTCTTACTAAATGCCAGTCTGTGAGAATGACATACTGTGAATCATTCAACCTTGCTTGGTAGTAAAATGCTTTATTTTAAGTGTTAAGTAACTGTTCAGGTAGACAGTTTTTATATCTTTCCTTCCAAGAAATCAGTCACAGAGTGATGAATAATCCATTGAGCAATTTCCTGAGCTGTTTAGACTGTAACGTACCTGATGTCATAGTGAACAGTGACAGATTCAACAAAAGCTTGTCATAATATTTCCAAGTAACCTTCCTGGTATCATATTGAAAATATATCGTTAAAAAAATGACAAAACTATTAGAAGTTCTGAACCTTTCATAGTAATTTTTTAACTGCAGGTTTCTGGCTTAAGCAGTTATAGCAGTAACAGATAACAGATGATCTGTATTTCCCACATAATTAATTTGATTGCTCTGTAATTTAAAGGGTATATCAAAGAAAGCCTGAAGGTGCAGAGCACAGATACTACTGAACAAGTTCTAAGCTAAACTGCATCTTTAAGATGTGCTGAAGACACCCCAGCTCTGCATTTGGGGAGAGAATATTCCTTTTTGGGATAATTGAGCGCTAGCTGCATGAAAATTCTCAGCTATTTGTGTTTCTGAAGAACGTTTCCAAGCAATATTTTAACTTGTTTGCTAAATCTATTGTAAAGACATCTCAGAAGAAATTTCCTAAGGTGATGAGGGTTGTCTTCTTTAAAATTGATAAATGTTTTGCTCTTCAGCAGTTTTCAGAGATTGGACAAACATAAAATCCAGAGTATTTTATTCTTCTGCTGTTGGGGCTGGAGAAAGCAATCTGGGCTGCCTGAAAATAGGAGAGGCCTTTCTTCTTTTAAGTAGGGTTTGATCTTTACTTCCAAGTTGGCAGAATCCTAAGTGGCGAAAAATGGAAGTATTTACTAGCAACAGGTAACACCCTTTACAAGTTTAAGCAAGTACTAAATTCAACTGTTGTACAATTTTGATTTCCTCTCTGCTTAATAACTTCAAACTTGTATTTAATAGTGATCAAAATAACAGGAATTGCGTTTGAAGTTCTGACTTTTCTTTATCCATAAACACACCAAACTTTTGCCAAAAATACTGAAAAAGCCCCTATCTTTTAGTTGATAATTTTTGAACTTAGTGGAAGAACTTCTCCAGATTTGTTTTTTTTAACGTAGGCGTTTGTTTTACTGTGGTCCTGTAATCAGCCTGGTTTTCCCCTAATTTTCAAGTAATTAGTCCACAGTGCAGATTTGGCTGCTTCTAGTGCATATATGGGTAGTGATATTAAGGAAATCATTAGGTGATGAGTAGTTCACATACAGGAGTCAGAATGTATTACATTTAATCTAGATGCACTCGGGAAGGAAACATGGGTGAAAACTAAAGAGACATGAGGTACAACAACAAATCTCCCTTGGGACCTGAAAAGGGCAAAAGCCCTTGGGTGCCCCATGGGAGAACATTTCAAACAAATCTTCCACTTCCCTCTGTCTCTGGACCGAGATGAACTGAAATTTGAAAAAAACCTTTCAAAGAGTCACAAAATTACAGTTTGCATGACCCTGGGATACTAGGAATCACAAGTGTGAAGGGGTATGGTAAAGACCCTGTTTCTTCTCTTTCCTATAAACAGAATTTTGTTACCTCTGTTAATCATGCTGCAGTCTGCAAGTGACAGTTAACTCCCTAGTCCCTCCTGGTCTATCTGATTAGCGTGTATATGCCAATTTAAACCCATTGACTCCATGTAGTACTTGAACTTTAGTCTTTAAGTACTACATGGAGTCAATGGGTTTAAATTGGCCTATACATTAAAAATGTGGCTTCTATTTCAGGCCTGAAGGAGGACTTCTGTGCTTGAAAACTTAGTTTTTACAGCTATGACGTTTAATTTCACGAAGGTGTTGCTGTTTCTTCCGTAGCTGAGAGAGAAGGTCCTTCCAGGATTTAGGTAATCTGTCCTGTCCCAAAATGAGTCTGAGTAATACAAAAAGGGGGATTACCCATCTCAGCTAACGTTAAAAAGAGCATACGTGATGACAAACGGGCAATGTTTTGAAAGATAAAGTCAGATAAGATGAATTCTGGGCTAACCATGGGCAAAGCTGATTTTTGGCAAGTTATCTGTCTCTGGATTCTTGACTTGGCTGTTCTTCCAGACCCCATTTGGAGCTGTGCTTCCTAGGTGTCACATATAAAAGGCTCTGGGAAAGATACTGTGCGTGTATAAGTATCAACAATATATAATTGACATTTTTCTCTACATCTGTGGTTCCAGGGGCACAGATGGTGCAGAGGAGTGAAGGTCTCCAGCACCACCCTGCCAGCAACCCGGGAGGAGGCTGTTGCTCAGCCTAAATGAGGCAATTTGTAGGGCTGGGGGTTACAAAAACTGTTGTGTCAGGAGAACTCGCTCCCTGTGGGGCAGGCTTGTTGTTGCCATGCTGTGGAGCAGCACTTAGTTTTTGTGGTGCCTGGCAGCTGGGTTGTGACTCTCTTGCTCAGATACGGAGGCGATGACTTGCTCTCCAGGCCTTTCTGTTAGTCAGAAGTTGGATTAAGGTGCTGCTGCTTCCTGGGGGATAGTCTTGAGGTCTGACAGGTTTAGCTGGTACTGAATTCAGCTGCCTGTCCTTGATGTTGTTATTACTGCTCTCAGCAGCTTGTATGGGTTTCTGAATGAAGTGGAAAAGCACAAGTATTTCACTAATAATCCCTGACTCTTGAAATTCTCTAACTGCATGGGCTGACTTGTATGGGAGAGTGGTACTTGCTTATTTAAATCCCATTGATTTGAACATAAACGTGTGCTTAAAGTGAGACATGCTGATTACTTCTGTGTTCAGGCTTCTTTTTAGATAGGCTGAAATGAAAGAACTGCTATCGAGAGATTCTTAGGAGGCATCTGGCATGTTTTATCATTCACTTAATATCAGAAACACTTATTTGTGTAGATGTCAATCAAGTTAAGCTGTCATCCTGGCATTTGTGCTCTGAAAAATCTAATGAACATCTGCTGAAGAAATTGGTTAAGGAAGCCTCACTCTCACAGGTTTTGGTATATGTGGCGTACAGGTAGAGACACACCTGAGACATTTGAACTGCCTGGTCAATTTATTGTACATACCAATGTCTCTTTGATGAATTACTATGAGGTGATTTTGAAATGTGCCTTGAAATATGCCTTAAGTAATTAGTGCATAACAAGTTAGAATAATTGATTATATCTGAGGCAAACCAAGAGATGTGAATAGTGATAAATGTGAATCACTATGTGAGTGTTTGCCATGGACAAATAATACAAATTTCATACTCTCAGCACGTACATGTTGATGCAGCTTTATTTCAGTTTGAAGTTATCCCACTTCTTATATTTGCAGAGGCTCTGGCATTTTGTTCTTGGAATAAAACTACAGCTTAATAGAATCCAGTTGACACATGTAGACCATTTTATGGTGAATTTAGCTGGTGAGAGTTAACCTTCAATGCAAATTACAAGTTCCATATCATTTTACTGCTTTATGATGTGGAATTCTTTGTTACTGTTGAAACTCTGTAAGAAAACCCCACTAAAAGTGGGTTTTGGCATAACCTAGCATACACTCATTGGCTAAAATTAAAGGCCGGTTGACTATAAGTAGAAGATTATCTGGTAGAACCAGGAACCAGCAAGATGTCCTGATCCCTGCATAAATATAATGAACGCAACTCAGCTGTTATTGTGGCCAGTTGTACTTTCAGCACTCAAAGCCCCAAAACCCAACAAACAGAAAAAAAAATATAAAAGGATAAGTTTAAAACAGAGCCCAAATATAACTGTGGGGAAGTTGGGGAAGCCTAGCAGTGAAAGGCAACAGAAGTTATGCAGGTTATTACAAAACCAAATGTAGCACCAATGTGGGAATGCTTTGTCTGGGCTTTCAGTGTAGAGCCAGGGTTAGAAGAACACCACAATAGAAGGTTTATTGAATGTACTAGACTGTGCATAGCAAGACTAGGTGATAGCAGATACTTCAGACTAGAAATAAAGCACTGCAGGGGCAATTGAACGTTGGAGAGAGATATGTAGTGATTTGGTTGCTTTTGTAATACTTCAGGTGTGTATCTCAAAAGTTCTATATCTTACAAAAAGGCATATTCTGACTGAGACAGAAGTTATGGTCTTGATGCAGATATCTGAGTTTGAGGCCTGTGTCAGGCATGAGATCTGACTTAGTGGTCACATAATAATGGCTTTGAATTTAAATACATCAATCTGCTCAAATTTATGATGGTTTTAATGTTTAACTTTCAAGGATGTTCTTCCTGCTGATGTCTACGATTCCTAGCAGGGAATGGCCTGCTCACATTAGCCTATATATCTGTTGGTGCAACTCAGCTTTCTGTTGGGGTGCATGTTTGCTTAAACACAACTGAACTGTAGGTACAGGCAACATTAAAAATCAGTATTCCTATCTTTACTGCTAAGATGACTCTGCAAGTCAGTTTTATCCAAAAAGCTGTATTCTGATATCTGTCTCTGTCATTTTCTAGAGAAGAACTTGATCTAGATAAAATAATAAAATTTTGAAACATCTCAAAATATTCTTACTGAAGACAGCTGTTAGGATATCTAGCAGATGATGTATTTGAACTTGTGGTCTGCTTCAGTTAATTCACTCCAATTCATCTCAACATAGTAGGGTGAATGGAAGTGAAATTTGCACATGTTTTGGAGTATCGGATACATGGGATTTTTTAGGGTTTTAATACCATCGTAGCACTTGAGGGGAGAAATTTTTTATTTGTTATTACATTAAGACAGTAGTGAATATATACATCTGTATTTTGGAAAAGTAGTGACTTCTACCTGTCACCCTCTTCTTCTGTTTCTCTCTCAGGTGGGTGGCTTATGAGAATCCTGAGTTTACAGGGGAGCAGTATATACTGGCTAAAGGGCTATATCCCAGCATTGAGGCATGGGGGGGCAAGAATTGCAAAATCTCTTCAGTTCAACCCATCGTTATGGTAAGGAGTTCATTTTATACTTGTTTTGCAAGTTTTTCTGAAGCATTTGGAGCTATGCTTTTTCTGTCAAATTCAATTTATTTACATTCTTTAAGCAATAATTAATAGTACAATTTTGTATGTTTATGATTTTATCACCATTTAAAATATTTTTTCCTTTTTTTGTTCCCTCCAAATTTTTTGCAGGATATTGTTGGAAGTGAAAGGGGTAAAGTCAAGGTAAGAGATTTCTCTAAGTGCATGAAACCAACCGTGTACTGTCTGTAACATGTAGAAATAAAGAAATGGCTTTTTGTCTAGTGCAACTCCCAGGTATTTGCACAGATGGTTGACTAGTCAGACAAAGAGTGGGAACTGCAGGTGAAGGAAGGCTGCTTTCCAAACCTCTTAAGTAAGGAGCAGTAAGGCCTAAGGAAGGTAGGATTTAATACACTTTTTCAGGGCACAGGCAGTGTTTTGGTTCAGCAAGTCAGCTGTTTTGGGGTATCAGTGGTTGTTCCAAGGAGCTGGAGCCCACAGTGCTCTGTGCAGGGGTGCAGGTACCTGGAGTCTGCTGCTGAGGTGAGGGCTCTGCGAGTTAGATGTTGTTCATGGTGTGGTTGTGACTTAATTCCTTTTGAACCCAGTTCTCTGGTTAACAGTTCTGCTAATGGTGGTTGCACTAGAAGGGAGTCTCATTCACTCGCAAATACTGCTGAGTTGTGCTTAGAAGTTAATGCCATCTTTGTCAATAACTAAGAGAAGGAAATGGCAGGGAGAACTTGTCTGTTCAGTGAGTTAACATATTTTCTACGTTGGACTGTCTCCTGCGTGCAAGTACTAATGCGTAGTTTTCACCATGAGACAAATGGGCGGCTTTTTTCATCCTTTCATAATTCTGAACCTTTTCATGTTTGTCCCTGTACAAAGTTACTTTTATTTTCATTTCAGTCAAAATGGTGAGCGTGTCATGGAACTAGAAACTAGAGAGAGAAGTCTTAGCTGTCTTGTTTTGCATTCTTCATTAGTAGCATGCCTCGCTGGAATCTCCTGCATAGGGATAATGCATAAACTATGGGGAATAAAAATCTCAAGGCTGCTTATTTTCAGCTATGTGCATGAAAAATTATTTGCATCTATATATTATGTGCCTATTAAGACCTTATCCTAAGGAAACAAAGAAGTAATGGCTTGTAGTCAACAGACTGCATCCCTCGTCAGCATGTTCCTCTTCGGAGAACGCTGTACATGCCCACACTCGTATCTCTGCTAAGAGTGAATAAAGCTGGTAGGCATGTGATAATGTGAATGACTTCTGTGTGATCAGGGTTAATTATCCTCTAACCAAATTAGCAGGTTTGCTGCTTAGATTTTTTTTTTTTCTTTCTCTTTAACAAGGACAAAAGACTCAGGGTGACGTAGGCTCTCTTATCCCCCGAGCAGAGGGAGAAGAACTGACACGACTGTAGCTGTAGCTGTAACAGGCACATAAAGCCCAGCTGCCCTGGGAACACATACTGTGCTGAGTGCTTTGCCAAGATCATACAGCATTTACGTTCTGAGAGACAGTTTTCATTTAGTGGGAAGAGTATGTATTTTGGAGATTAAAAGATTAAATGGATTAATAATTTCAAACAGAACTGTTTATGGCCCTTTTGTAAAGATATGCCTGTTCCGGCTATTCTGTGGGAATTCAGAACTGTTCTCCAGCAGATAGACCAAGGAGCTGACTTCGTTAATGTTGTTTTATTTTGTATGTTAGTGAGTGATTTACAGCCAGAAGTAATTTTTGGTGGTGTTACCTTTCTATCTTGATGAAGGATTACAACACTGAAGAGCTAACAAATAATATATGTAACTGAGGAAATCTGGGTGTTTGAAGTATGTTTTAATCTGTTATAGAAGCAATGGTACAGACATGGTACTGAAGGTTGAAGAATGAACTGTTTATAAATATGCTTGCAACTCTTTTAAAGGTCCAGTTATTTTCAGAGCCTGAATTCAAGGGTAACTGCCAAATATTTGAAGAAAACACAAGATGTATTGATTCATTTGCTGTGAAGTCTTCAAAAATTTTAGATGGCAGGTAAGTTATATTGAAGGAGTATTGCAAAATCACTAAAACAGTAAAAGTTTTAAAAAAGCAACCAGCTTTCTAACACCTGAAGTGATTTTGCATATGGGGGCTTACAGAGAACAAGGCTTTGCAGTTTACACATCAATCTTTAGCTTCTCAGGACAAAACGTTGTAAATAGTGTCTCTGTCAGTAGCTCTTGCTAAGGACTGAGAAACACTATCAACATATTACTTGAACAGAATTCTTAAGAGGCAATTTCTTCTCCTTCTTCCTGCAGCTGCGTGGTGTATGACGAGGAAGAATTCTCCGGTAACCAGTATGTGCTAGAAGAAGGAATCTATCCTGATCTGACAGCAATGGGTTGTTCACCCCAAGCAGTTCTAAAATCTTTACGGATTATAAATATTGTAAGTAAAGCTATTAGAAATATAGTAAAGTAAAGCTAAGTACACTGGTGACTTAGACCTCCCCATTTTTTGCAGGAGTTAATCTCGAGGGATGCACAGACACCAGAGGAGTATTTTTATTTTTATGTTCTATGCAATAGCAGTTAAATGTCCCGGCTGCAGTCAGTGTTTTTTTACCTCTGTACTGTTTTTGCAAAGGAGGGGCCATCACAGAAGCAGCTGCCTGGCATCACTGTCCTTAATAACAGCTTATAATAAGGCCTTCTGTAAAAGGAGTCAGGGACGTGTCAGGTAGACTGTTTATTTCCCAGTAGGAGAGACCACTTAGCGCGGGTTGAGAAATGTCAGTAGGACAGTGTGAGGAAATATCTGTACTGAAGACCTTGTTTTTTCTGCATATTAAAAAAGAAGACTTAACTAAGCAACTTTGCATGAAGTACATGTAATTATAAACCACTATTGCTATCATCAAGGAAAGGCAATTTGAGTTAATCATGAAATAATGCACCCTTCTAGATAAAGTAAAGCAACACCCAGTGTCATTTGGCAAAATCAGACAGTGTTGTTGTTATGTGTGGTGGATACAAACTAAACAACATTTACATATTTTGTAACTCATCAGTGGTGAGGAACAAGTTTGCTCAAGCCTATAACCGATCATTATGATGGATCACTTACAGAATCTGCAAGTATCTTTTAAGATCAAAGTAATTGCTAGCAAAATGTGGTCACGAATCCAGGAACTTACGGCAATATGAAGAGATGGTACTCATTTTAAAAAAGGAGTACACTATTGACTCTCTTCTTTGAATTTGGCAACTTTATTGCACTCCACTGTAATTTTGGTAACCAGTCAGTGATGTAGCAGTTGACGAAGGAGAACTAAAATGTGTCATCTTCTTTCATGTCTCTGGAGCATTTGGATGTACAGCATAAACAAACATCTACAGCAAGTGTGTCTGCCTTCTGAACTCTTTGGCCATCCAGTAGACCGATCTTATTAAAAATAATGGAAGTGTTTCTAGCCAACCTTGGTGGGTGATCACCATGAATTAAAACAGGCTCTTTTGCACCTGTCAGTATTGAGTTCTTGGGTTTAAAATGCCTTTTTTCAAGCTGGAAGGATCAGCTTACTTTTGGAAGATACATTGTGACAAACTGTTGTGTTAAAACAGCCAGTGCCAGTTCCGTGCCTCTTTTTTTAAGTTGTTATAACTCCTGAAACTTTTTCTAGCCCTATGATTTATCACACTTCAGACAGCAGCATGGAGCTGCGTCTGTCTGCAAGTCATGTGCTGCTGCCTCCTCCTTCAGGGGCTTCCTAGCTGTACAGAAGAGGAAAATGTGTTGCTTTGCTCTGCAGTTTATTAGTAAACCAGAATACAGAGAGAATAAGAAGTTAGGTGGAAGTGATCATATTATACTGTTCGTTTTTCATAATTTTATAAAAGCTTGAACCTTATTATTCTGAATACTGGTTTCACCTCTCAGATTTATTTTGGGACTTTTTTTTTTTGGTGGTGCCAATCTTAATTCCTCCCCACCATCTGCTGTTCCCATAACTTTCCTCGTGATTTTTCTGTGACATTTCTATACAAGAAGCACCTTTGCTATTTAATATGTCGTGTTACCTTGCTTACTTAGTTTAGCTCCCCTTTGCAGGGATCCATTTCTAAGAAACCATAAAAAAAGGAAATGAGAGGGATACTCGATAAACTTGAAAGTAAAAGTTAAAAGGGCTTTTATTCATAAGCTCAAGGTTTTTGGTTTTTTTTATACCTCTGTATCTTTGCTTGATTGTGCTTGCTTTGCATGCAGCACATGGTTGTGCTGCTGATAAAAAATAGCATTTTTCCTTCTTGAATTTGCTACATGTTCTTTGTCCTGAACATACTGTAAAAACAACTGTGAATGTGCTTTATGCTGAAAATACTTTTTTCATGGGCAACTCTGAGAAGTAGCTGAATGTAGATACACAGGAGCACCAGGTTCATACAGTGGACTATATGGGAAGTACTGAAAGAAAACTTGTCAGCTGACCTTGCACTTCTCTCTGTGGGGAATGTTTTAAAGAACAGTCGTGCTGCTGAATCTAAAAAAAGCCCAGAGTGGAAGGTGTGGCTGAAAATTGGAGAATTTCCTTTTCTGTCTGTGTGTTTTCTTTGTAAGTAGGTTGTTTCTGAAGCGTTGTATATGGCTCGAGGTGGTAAAATGGCGGAGGGGTCCGAGGTACCACACATCATCATGGTGTGACTGTTCCCGTTGATCTCTTTAGCCCTGATGCTGCATGACAGCCTGACTGGTGTTAACCTCTCATGGTGGGGATGAGTGTACTCTGATTTTGGAGTAAGCTGGGAGACTTCTCCTGGCATTTTCCACAGGGTGGGTGCCATCAGGAGGCCCAGCTCAGGTGCTGTGCATAACCTGGACTGCTGCGGGGATAATGGTGACGCTCACGCAACGTTGTCATCTGGGCCCTTCAAACATCTAAAGGGAGATTAAAGAGGAATTTTAAGCACTGTCTAGAAATCGGTAGACATGAGGTCTTGCTGAACAAAGTCACAGGGAAGCACGGATCTCCACTGCCGTGCCTGTCCGGAGCCACCCTCTGCCCTGGAGGGCCTGTTTCCAGGCCTGAGGCCAGATGCGGGTCTGTCGAGACTTGGCGTCATGTCGGGTGTTCCCCATCCAGTTGATGTGTCTCGATCATGCTGAACACATGCCAGCAGGAAGGAGCTCTTCTGGCTGTGGCGTTGGCTTTATTCAGTCGTTGCTGGAAGACTTACGAGAGAGGGAGTGGTGGGGTCACTTCCATCTATGAGCATAAACTAACACCAGGACGCTCAGGCTTGATTGACTTTACCCTGAGGGTTTTCAAACCCTTACTTCCCAGCTTCCAGGGGAAGGCCTTAATTGTGAAAGGTTATTTCTAGTCCATTACAGACACCTTGCCACCCATGGGCAAAAAAAAAAAAATTGAGTCCAAGGTTCATTATCTAGAAGGCATTTAAAATGGATTCAGTGACGCAGGGAGCTTCATGTGGGCATGAAGTGTTTTGACGGAGGAAGAAGAATCATCTCCCCACAGCAGTTTGGAGGATTCAGGTGTTACAGTTTTTGCTTGAGTTTTTGCTTCACCTCAGAAGAACGAATCATGAAGCTTTTATCTAGTCAGGGATTGATGTTACCATAACCTACTGTAAGAATTAAAAAGCAGTAAGTGATAAGCAGTGAGACAAGGCTGTCATCATTTGAAGCTGTGGAGATCAGTATTATCTTACTGTGTGTGCAGGTCTGAAGGTGAAAATTCCTACAATGAGTAAGGTCTAGTGCAATGGAAGAGGGATATGGCATTAATTAAAATGTATTTTAAAACATACTTAAGATAGTACACAAGAATCAATCCCAGAGACATTTGTGTGTGCCTTAATATAAGGAAGTTTTATGTGCCGTGCAAGAAGATCCCTTGTGTTTTGTGTAAGAGCTTTTTATTACTTTTTTTTATTATTTATTTCTTTTAAGTAACCTGCTGCAGAGCAAAAACATTATCCAGGGTCTTTGATCTTAAACAATCAAGAAGAAACCTCTGAAATAAAAGGGAGGGCTGTGTGGAGTAATGATGCTCACAGTTAACCATCTGGAGTTCTAACATCCTATAAAAGTCTCATCTTCCTTTTGCAGGAGCTGTCTGAGCCGTGCATAGCTCTTTTTGAAAAGGTGGGTTTCCAAGGAAAGAAAATTGAATTCAGTACAGAAATCTTAAATCTCCGGTTCCTGGGATACAATCCTCGAATAGCTTCAGTTCAAGTCCTTGGTGGCGTGTAAGTTTAAAATCACTTTTTGATTCTTTAGAATGATGTGCTTATTCAACAGAAAAAAATACAGATGTTAGAAACCAAGGAGTATAAAATTATAGTATCATAGTGTGTGCCGTGCATTAATGCAGTTTCTTCTTACAGAACCTTTTCACATCCTCTTTCAACAACATTTTATCACTGACTGGTGCTCTGTGCTAGAAGTTGAAATAAATTTGAATAAAGCCCAAAAGGAAATTAGAGTCTTCTCTCATGCCATGTTATAAAGGCCAGCTTGTGTAGCATCCTTAAAACCTACTTCTGTGCTCTTGGTTCAGGTCTCAAGCATAAAAAAAAAACAAAAACAAAAACATTTGGTTTGTGATCTGTGTCATGTGTTATAAGTTCAGAATGTTTTAACAAGTCTTCGCCTTCATCATTTTACCTGATATTATGACACAGTGGTATAAGATCATGATCTGGCCCCTCTTGGCGTTAGTAATAATCCCTTTTACTTCAGGAACTGGATTGTAAATCTAGCAATTAAATTTGTTAGGTGTTTTTAAGCAGCTGTGTTCTCTAAATTTGCTTTTGAAGATCTTGTAAAAAACAGTCTGTGATGAAGTTTAAAAACTGTCTGGAAGCATTTTGAAAACTACTGTGCTGGCTTCTTCCAGTGTTCCAGCAGATCTGTTATATTTCTCTTTTTCTGTTTTTCCTGTTGTTAGCCTCTACCTCCAACATACTTGTTCCCAAGCATATGTTCAGGGTTCTTGTAACTTGAAGAACGTGATTTATTTTTGTAAAGATAGATCCGTGTCACTGTTGCTTTGCATTTAAATGTGTTCTTTTGAAGAGGTAAATTTCCAAGGTGAGTGCTGGAGAGATCTGTTGGGTAGCTTAAGGCTGCCCTCCAGTGGACAGCTAACACCAGAGCTGTAGAGAAAACCATCTTCCCTACCTGCAGAAGCTGGTCAAAGGGTTTGCTTGGCACACTGAACTGAAGATTTAAACGTAAGGGTCAGAAGAAAAGGTGCATGCTCCATATTCTTAAGTCTTCTGAGATTTCAGTGTCTTTCACCATAGCCACAATACAGTTGATTCTCACTTTCCATAACATGAAATAACATGAAGACAAACATCATTACTACTTTGCCAAAAACATGGTTACCACGATTCCAGGTAACGGAGTCATGAACTGTGCATGTTTTCTGTCCAATCAATATATATGTTTTTTTCTAGTTCATCACTGGAAATGTATAGAGTGTGATATGAAAATTCTGATTTCATTTTAGCAGTGTCAGCTGCTGAAATGTGGCAAAATACAGGTTTCAGAGTGTCCTTGCCCCTAGTGCCTCCCTATTGAAGGGTTTTCATCTTCTCTTCCTTTGCTAAGAGACATCTGTTTATAATTTTATTAATTTCATATCTGGGCATAGATATGTATTATGCTGTGAAAAGCACCAAAATTAAGGTGAGTGTGCTTTTTTTCTGGATATAGATGTCTACTGCCAAATTGGTCAGAGGAAAGGAGGTAAGAGGGAAAATGTGCATATCGAGTGTTCATATACTCCAAAACCTATGGCTGTTGGACAGTCCCAGCAAATCAGTGTGAAAAAACTCAACAAATTTCACTCTGTTGCAGCCAATTTCAAAGTCTAGTAATTTACTGCCTGTGCCAATAGCAGTGCAGCAGAAGTCACGTTCTGACAGGTTGCTCTCAATGTGATTGTAAGCGTGGTTGGATGTGTGGTAGGCTATGCTAAACTATTTTTTTTCCATATGTGTTTTTTTCCCCTTTTTCCCCTCTCTCTGTCTTTTTTCTTTTTCTTTTCTTTTTTTTTTTTTTTCTTTTTTTTTTTTTTTCTTTTTTTTTTTTTTTCTTTTTTTTTTTTTTTCTTTTTTTTTTTTTTTCTTTTTTTTTTTTTTTCTTTCAGGTATTTGGAAAGAGGAAGGGTGTTCTGAAGTAAAACCTTTATCAAAATACCCCAGAGAACTTGACCCTGTTGCAGTTGCAGTATTTGCTTGTTGCAGCCTGCATCCCTAGTAGTTCTTTCCCCTGTGGGTCAGGCCTGTCCAAATTAAGATACACAGAACTACTGGTCCTACACACGCAGCAATCTATCACATTCAGCATATGTAGCATATACATATGGGCTCCTTGAGGAGTCACAGTACCTCCTGAAAACAGATGAGATTTAAAAGCTGGGTTCTCCCTTTAAGGCAAGAAAGTGCTTTGTTTCATTCAGCTTGTAATTTTTAAATAATAAGCCTTTAAAACGTGAACTCCAGTGTACTCATCTTAATGCTGTTGATCTAAATCTGGACGTGATGTTATTATTTTTTTAAGACCTGTCATTGACAGAAGAAGGTCATTGCCTTTCCAAAGCTAAACACTGCTACTTTGTGGGACAAATTTCTATTAAATGCGCTTATTGATTCAAAAGAAGGATTTGGCAGTAAAAGCATTCTGTCTCTTTTTTTTTTTTTCCTCATAGATGGATAATTTACGAGCATAGTAATTACAGGGGGCGTCAGATGTTGTTATCACCAAATGAAATTCCAGATTGGTATAAAACGAGTGGCTACTGTCAGATAGGTTCTCTGAGACCTTTACTGCAGGTGAGTAGGCTCTGACGTGAAATTGTCAAGTACTAATTTATATTTTGTAATGGGGTGGGGGAATATTATACAGTTCAAAGCAACATTACAGTCTTGATGCGTGTCACAAGCTTCAGTAATGGCAATTGTGCAAAGAAATTGCTCTAGAGTTTCGCTTGTAATAAAAGCTAGTTGATTATGCTACATGGCTTTGCAGTCCTACTGCTTAAACTGTTCATTAAGCATACTTTAAAACGAAGTAGAGAACACTGCATATAAGGATTGGCTAAATTATTTTAGCAATTAATGGCTATAACTACGAGATATAAATTATTATTAGTTATTTTATAATTAGCACCCAAACTGGTCACCGGTGTACTGTTTGTACTATATGCATTGTTTTTGGAACAAGAAAGTTGGTCAACAAAATGGGATACTTCAATTAATAGTGATTTTGTGTTGATTTAGGGGGGGAAGGTCCTTCCCTGCTTATTACATAGCAGAATAATTTGCACATCTAATGCAAAACTGACTCTGGTGGTGTCCTTTTCATTTTGTTCTCTAAATAAAGACCATGTGATTTGGTCCGATGCTGCAGCAGTCCTGGGAGCTTTAACATCTGAGGTTCTTGCTGAGCCATATTTTATTGAGGAAACAAGTTTTTGTAGTTCACAGGTTACATGTACCTGTACCCAAATGCATTTGCTCGCCGTCGTAGCGTTGTCTTTGTGTAGCCTTAAGCAGAGTTAGGGCAGTCAAAATGCATTATTCCTGGCTGAGAGCTTGTCTAAACAGAAATGTAATGTGCAACAAGCAGCAGCATGAATGTGCAGTGTAATACTTGCTGCCAGTGAAATAAGCAGCGCTGCACAAGTGCACCCTTTGGAGTTAAATTCTAGAAAAGTTAAGCTTTCTTTCAGAAAGAGGGAGGCAGGGGGTGCAGCACTGACCAGTAATTGCTCCGAAGTTAAGCAGAGCTGGATGTGTCCTGTGCTGAGACTGTGGTTAAAGAGCTGTGTTGTTTTCTGCAGAAACGTGTGTACTTCAGGCTTCGGAACAAGGAAACGGGAAAATTCATGTCAGCTGATGGCAACTTAGACAATCTGAATCTCCTCAGAATACAGGCTGCAGAAGATACAGAGTCAGAAGATCAAATCTGGGTTTATCAGGAGGGATTCATAAAGTGCCGGGTGAGGTTCAAGCTCAATCTCAATTTTCTTTTCCTCTGCAGTAGTAGGGCTTTCTGAATTTAATTCCTATTGTATTATGTTAATTTATTTTATAGGCTTATTCCATTTCAGCTAAAATACATTGTTTTTGTAGGTGTTGGGTTTTGGGTGGGTTTTTTTTTTTTGGTTGTTGGGATTTTTTATTGAACTCTGGCCTTTTCTGGTTATATAAACTAGTTGTATGATATCTTTTTTGATGTAATTGAAATCTTGAGAGGTTTTAGTTATGATTTACTTTTCCCCTAAAGAATAGCAGCCTCATAAGTACAATTAACACCAGAAGATCATTGTCTGCTCTTCGTGAGCTGTTTCCACTTCCACACCCTCTTTCTCCACAGTGAAAATATCACAAGAGTCAAAGCAGGGGAGACTTTTAAAATGCAGACTCTTCCTAATAATATTTTGAAATATGCATACCTTTTGATAGGTCAATTAGTGTAATGCAGGTTATATCCTCTTCTGCATTCAGGCAAGCTTAAAGATAAAATTCTACTCTTTGGGGGCTTTGGTTTGTGGGGTTGGTTTTTTTTTTTTGGTTTTGATTTTTTTCCTTGTTATCCCCTTATTTGTCGAATTCATCCCTTTTCCTTTCCTCTGTACAAGTTTCCAAATGAAGTCCTACTTTTCTCACAGTCCATAAAACTACTCATGTGTGCATTGTCATTGAGGTGAGCAGAGGAATGCACAGTTCATAAGGGTTAAGCATGAACAGTCTTAGGTAGGGATGCCGGCCAAAGAAAATTAAGTTACTTTAATACTGTTAAACAGCTTGCCTGCAAAGAATCATGTGAATTTTTTCTATAGGATTGTATAACTTCAAAGGAGCCATTTATAACTATGTCATCTCTGCTGGAGGGAAGAATCTTACTGTTAATAAGCTAAGGCATTGTTTGGACATGTTTACAGGACACATGCAGTAGTAAAAGAGATTTATGCAGACAGCAAAATGGTGCAAAGCAAGCTAAAGGCCTTCATATGGTGTACAAAAGACTTCTGTCTTGCTAGTGCCTCTCAGAATTTTAACTGAAAGTATTCCTGTCGTGACAGGGTGGTAATTCATGGCTTTGGATAAATGCCCTTGGTTTTTGTCCCCATCTCTGTGTCCCATAAAGCAGATTTCTGTGCACAGAAGATGGGCAGCTCGTGCTGTGCAGCCATCGGCAGCTCAGTGCAGAGCACACGCTGGCAACAGTGATCTTAAATGACTGAACTCCTGCAGAGCTCTGCCATCTCTCTGTTGAATGGCAGTAAATGTATTTTGCACCCAAAAAAAAAAAAGTCACCACATTTTAAAAAGAATATTCAGTGGGTGGTTGCGCGCACGTAGGCAGAGACAGGCCCTTGGAAGAACTCGTGCCTTTCCTCCTGTGAGCTTAGGTCATCTCACTGCCTCTGAGTCACGGCGCCTGGAGCTGGGCCTGAGGCTCTCGAGGAAGGGCTGTTCCAGGTGGGATAACCAGCAGGCAGGTTAGGAAAGTCGTTCTGCTCATTTTGTCAGAAACAGATACAGATAGCAGATAGGAATTCAGGTCTCCTCACTCTTCATGAGCTTCTTGGAGATGGGTGAAGTGGTGGCCTATGTGCAGATGAGAATTTCAGAACTGCAGAACTAAATAAACTTACTTCAATTCCAGGTTATCATAGTAAGAAGTACTATTTTCAAAACTGTGCATTTAATAATTTAGGGCCATATCAACAACGGCAGGTGGGTGTTTGTATAATCTGCCACTGAAGGCCAGTCAGAAGCTTCAAGGTGGCTTATGTTGATCTATTGAAGATCACTGTTCACATAGAATAATTAATTGTAATGTACTATGAATACAGCCTTAATATTTTTTTTCAAGGATGCTTGATTTTTTCCAGTTCTTTTTTTAACCATAAAGACATCTGCAGAGTTTTGAAATCAAGTAATACAAATGACCAGGAAAAGAATAGAGGAAAAAAGAAGAAAATATTATTTTGATAGATTGTGAAATTCATACACTTTATACTATGCAGTTATGTCCTTTATCTCAAAAGGTTATTGTGGAACTAGAAACAACTAAAGAACAAAAAAAGGATGAGCAGATGAGATGGAGGGTTTCTATGCAAGAAAGAGAGAAAATAGCTAGGACATTTTTAGCCTGCAAAGGGGGCAGTTTGCAGGATTATATGATTGAAGTTTCTGCAAATATAGGGAGGAGAAGGGGGCGTGAGGAGAGCATCAAATAAAACTATCAACTATTGTTTAATTTTGTTTTAAAAAGAAAAGTAGTAGTTAAGATTTGGAACTGCTTGCCCCAGAAGGGTTATAATACAGAAGGGTGTTCGTGTGAAGGAGTTACATTGATCTCAGTGGAAGGTGGCTCACAAATTCACATATGGGACAGAAACCAGCCAGATACTGAAGGTACCAGCTCTGCATGGAAAACTCTCTGGGCTGGAAATTGCCATAAAGTGGGAGAGTTTACCAGGAACACACTGTATTACAGGAGCAGAGTGAATGTAATCTCCCATAGCATCTGTTCTTGGCCACTGCTGGAGGCAGGTGCTAATTGCACCTTTTGATCTGATACAGCGTGGTTATTTTAATGTTTTTGTGTAGTGGAGAGTGTCAGCAGAAGCAGGAACAAAAGAAAAATAAGTAGTCTTGAGTCTGGGGCAAAAAAAATACATTCCTGTAGGGAAAGTAGTTCCTAGATTCTGTTTGCACCTGCTGACATCTCTCCTATCTGATAAAAAACCAGTGGGTACTAGAAGTAAGGCCTTTTGACTAATTGCTGTTGCCTTTCTGATGCCACAGATGGCAGAGGATTGCTGCTTGACAATCGTTGGGAATCTTATAACTCCTGGCTCTAAGCTCGGCCTGTCATTTGAGCGGAATGAAGACAAGCAGTATTGGCATATTAGTCCCGATGGCAGGATTTATAGCAAGATGAAACCCAAGCTGGTTTTAGATATCAAAGGTAAGCAAATGTGTTATCTCATTACATTGTGTCTTAATTACATGGTATTTACAGTGGGATAGGCACTAAACGTGCCTATAAATTAAGGATGGTGTTATAGTTACTTTAATCTAGAATCAAAAAAGACCCGATTAGCTCGTCTGACCTCCTGAATTATACAGGCCCTAGGACTTCATTTCATTTTTCCTACACAGAGTTAGTAACTCACAGTACTTGCTTATCTTGTATTCCCAGTGTCCACTCACTCCAGATACCCTCAGCTAATTTTAGGTGGCACTGGGTGATGTGAATATAATTATTTAAAAATGCTGAAGCAAGAAAAACCTAGCTTCTCATTAACTTTAATTTGTATAGAGCAAATTTTCTTATATAGTAGTTGCAGATGCAATAGCCAAAGGATATTGGGAAAGCTCTACACTGATGTGATTGGATGTAAAAAGTATTTTTCATTTGTTGATTAATGGCTGTACCTTTATTGGGAACATGGGATTCTGCTACAGCAGCCTAAGGTCTGCGCACACTTGGTGTGTGTTTTACAGCTGCTTTCATCACAGCGACTTGATTCGTGTAAATACTGTTTCTAAACTTTGTTTTCATAGTTTCATAGAAGGTCTGAAAAAGCAGCAAGTGGAATGGTTGGCAGAATTAGCATAATCAGATGTCCTCAGATAACAGCATTTTCAGGTGGGGGGAGTAATCATTTTTTTAACAGCTCTTAATCTTTTTAGCTGTTTTAAAACTAATTTTGCATTGATGCTGTGACATTAATTACAGCAATTACAAAAAAAAAATCAACCCCCAAACCAAGAAAGAGAGTCAACAGTCAGCACTTTAGAACTAAAAAGGTCAGGACTACCAGAACTGTGAGAAAAGTGTTGTCTAATGTCTGACCATAATACAACACGGGCACAAATAGGCACAAATTCTCTTTATTGCCATAAAAAGCTAGTGATGATTGATTATAAACTCATCAAAAAGACTCCAGTTCAAGGCGAGTCTTTAGTGACAGCAACTCTGCACACCTTTTTCTAAAGTCAATTCCGAGTTGCACCGAACAAGCAGAAATAGTATTATGCTGCCTTGTCTTCAGTTAATCACGTTAAATGCAATTTTGTATTCTGCATTTATAATTGGAGAACTCGCAGTGGCCAGGTCTGGTGATGAAAGTATAGATGCACTCTTGGTTTAAGAAAAAAATTAAATGTGTACATTAAACATGAAAGAGTAGGTACATTTATTTAGCTTTTATTTGAGAAAGCCTAGTAGGAACATTACCTGTTTCTGCCAATTCTGCTGATCCATTCTTGACCACAAATCGGGCACTAATGAATTCTTCAGCAAATTAATGCAGTTGTTCAGCTGCACAGTTCCCAATGCCACCTTGTGGATCTGGTGGCTCAGCACAAAGCCTGGCCCAGGGCATCGCCCCGGCAAAGGAAATAGTCTTCTGTTCCACTGGAAAAAAACCTCCCATCTTTTCCCATTGTAACATCTTTACATTGTATCAGACACCGTTTACAACATATTTTTTTCACTCACAGTGATAACTGAGCTATGTAGTTCTGTAGTTAATGTTATTTTTTTGCAGCTGCTGGTTAGGTTTTTTTGTTTTTTCCTGTGGGAGTATTTGATCTGATATTCCCTTCTTTTTGCCCTCTCTCTGAAGAACTTTGCAAGTATTTCTGCTGTGTATCTCTACTGCTTTTCAGTAATTGCCTGGTGATGGCCAGGAGAGAAATCATGTTGGTGTTAACCTTCTCAGAGACCTTTCTGATTTGGGACAATGCCACCGGAAAATGTCCCCCCAGAACTCCTGAAGCGGAGATCACCCAAGGTGTTTGAGATGGCATTATCTTAGTACAAAGAGTTTCTTAAGTCAGAGCGTTAATGGTGCTCTTCTAAGGGAAGATGTTTGGGATGGCATCATGGGAGTAAATTAAGCTGCTCTAGGAAAGGGCTGTACTTTGCATTTGGGTATGTTCAGCTGCCAGTGGAAGGAGCTGAACATTGGGTGATATTCTGTGTATGTAATCCCAGTCAAAATACAGGATTGGGACCACCTCGTGCCTGGTGTGGTCCTGCTCACATTGTCTGTTAGCAGCAGGACTTACTTCATCCTGCACACATCATCCTTGGTGACAACTGACAACTGCTGAGGGGAGACTGAACAGCCAAGTTTGACTTTTGGGAAGTGATGGTCTGAGAGGAGCTACACCCTTCCCTTCCATCCAGGCTGAAAAAGCCCAGGGGTGGGGGAAAGGGTGGAGGGGAGCAGGCAGAATCCCATTTCAAAATTAATGCCAGCAGCAGGCAGTGATGAAAATCAGTTTGTCTTCTCAGTGCCTTGAGGAGAAGAGAAACTCTACCCCAGCACTTCCTAGAGCTGCCCCAAAACCTGGAGTGCTTACTTTCACTTGAAAACAACCTCTTACTTCAAAAATAGCCCTCACTCTTTGGAACTTTTCCTTGCAGGGGGCGCGCAGTACGATCGTGACCACGTTGTGGTCAACACAGTCAACGAAGAAAAGTTATCTCAGTGCTGGGAGCCGCTCGTGGTGTGAGCCCCACCACGGGAGGGCGGTGTCTGAATTGGCCACTGGACGTGAGGATCGGCACTGCCATCTCTGAAGGACACAGGAGCAACAATGAGAGTTCTGTCTCTTCTTTGCAATTTTAAAAAGAACAAGCAACAGAATGATTTCACCTCTCTATTGAAGATTGTTATCCCTATAAAAGCTTGAGTATCTCTCAACTTTTTTTTTTGTTTTGTTTTGTTTTTAAAATCATCACAACCCAGTATGAGATGATAGAGTGGTAGTTATGCCTCGGGCCAGAGTAGAAGACCTAAAGGTGGGAGAGACCCCATGGAGTTACAGTTGTGTCAGTGAGTAGTTAATCCAGAATAGTCAATAAGCATAATTTTAAATTATTTTTAAAAGTGGTTTGGTTTTTTTAACTGAAAGAAGGGGTAAAAAATAATTAAAGCTTATTTTGTAAAGGACAGGAGTGCAATGTGTATGTTGGTAGAGCAACTTGGACCTTCGGGCTGTAGTATAGAGAAATATTCACTGCTAAAAATTAATATATTTGTTTCACTGGAACAAAGTTATGTTTACTGGAAGTTTTAAAGACTGCTAGCACACAGCACATCCAAAGAATTTTTAACATGTGCCTTCAACTATAGTTAGTATGCTAATATAGTGAGTCCTAAAATACAAAATTCTAGATTTTCTCCATGTAGAGAGACAATGTAAATTAGTAGATGTTTTGTTAGAAAAAGAGAGGAGTGGCAAAAGGATGCATCGGAATGTGAAGAACTTGCCCGTTTTCTAGGCTGCCCAACTTTTTGAGTTAGGGGTATTTTACTTCTTTGCCAAATCAAATTATTATTTTTTTTTGTAGAACAATTACAGTAAGTACAGTCTTCCTGAACCCCAAAATCACGTAGAAAACAATTCTTAGGGAAAGTATCACTCTGCATGAGTGCAAAAGCACCTCAGCACCACGGTGTGGCTCCGGTGGCTGCTGGGCCATGTCACACTGCCACCCTGGGTACCTGCAGTGATGCCCGTTCAAAGTCAGCATTACTCCCTTAGTAAAGACCTTGCAACACTGATGATTCCAGAAAGTTCTTGTGCTTTCCCTGCTCTTAATCTGGTCTTGCTAGTTTTCCTTAATAATGTTGGCAAAAAGGTAAAATACAAACAAAGTCTTGTACTATGCTGCTGTGTTTTGTTCTGGCTTAGACCAGTGTTATTACAAGCTGCTCCTAGGAGTATCCAGGCCTTTGTCTTGCACAGTAAGTCTGTTTAAAATTAACATTTTCATTGCTATTGTATTGCCTCAAAGGCTACTGGTGCTTTTATTGTTACCACCCTAAAGGAAGTGCCTTACTAGTTTTCCTCCTTTTGTACAGACGTACTGAAGTTTTGTTGCTCTGAAAAGTGCTGCTTTTAGTTCTTCATAGAAAATGTTGTTATTGATTCCAAACAGTGGTACTTTGTCATATTGATGTGCTCTTGCTATATATATAATATAGCATTTTACGAATAAATCTAAGTTAGCTAACTTTTTATTGACGTTATTTTTTAAGGTAGAAAGCTGACATTTTACAGGTAGTTTTGCTTCTGTCTTCTGCCTTCCTCTGTCTGTAATTCCCCTGCAGCAGGTAGCTACTGAGGAGTGAGTACGTGGTGTAGAATAGCTGCAGGCCCTGAGGAACAGCTGCTTCTCTGTTACAAGTGTGTGTTCAGTGCGTGCGTTGGTGGGGCTGCTGCTTCTGTCCCCTGCTGCAAGCACTGCACGACGTGCTGCTTCTACCACTGTAGCTGCACCACAGTAATTGTGCAGCTCTCAGTTAAGAGGTTACCACTTGGTTTCAACACACCTGCATAACTGCACGGGACGTCACTCTGTAGCCCATCTCTGGCAAAATGGTAAGTTTGAAACCAGACCAACGGACACGTACCCCTCAAAGCACCAGCAGTGACAGGGGGCACGGAAAGAACAGGGTCTCCCCATTACTGATAAAATCGTGTCTAGCCTACCTGCTTAAGTGCTGTGCCAGGAGTTCAGCAATTAGAATAATTATCAGTTACAGACTGATTTTCTTCCATGCTTCTACTCAGATGAGTTATGCCGTGGGAGATTTGCCACACTGAGATTAAAGTGCTGGTCTTGAGACAGTGATGTGGCCACAGGAAAAGTGTCCAGTTCTGAGAATGATCTAGACCTATATTAAAGTTGAACAGAACTAGGGAAGGTCAAGGAAAAAGACAGAGCAAGTTTCATGCAGACAATTAGATAAAACTGTACCTTACCATTTCAGGACTTTTAGCTAAAACATCTGAAAAATAAAACCTCCAAGATCTACAAACTGAAAACGATTCGGCTGTTCCTCTTATCCCAAGAGCGAGGGGTGTTCTGCAAAAGTCACAGCTCCACTCTTAACCTGGTTTTCATGTAGAAATACTTTAAGGCCATTAGGACATTTCTTGTCTGCATATTAACAGGCAGAACAGGAAGGAATAAAAGAGGCTTTTCTGAAACAAGACTCTTTTTTTAAATTATGCATCCTGTGTGAGCTGTTAAAGAAGAAAGGGTTGCTACGTACCAATTCATGTTCAAGTGTAATTTACCAGTAGAGGACTGACTGAGGGCAGAATAATGCTTAGAGATACTTTATTTGTTACTAATTACATCAATCACTGTTTTTCCACGTGCGTGTCCTCCTTCCAATTTCAGAAAGGCCTTTGGAACGTCGGAAAAAGAGAAGACTTCATCAATAACTGGTTGAATCTACAGAATAAAGAAAAAGGGTTTGCTGTATTAGGAATAAAAAAAATGTTATCACTTTCACATTTCAAAACTGTATGAAGAAAGAGGGGAGGTTTCTTTATATGATGTAGTCACTAGTTTTTAACTTTTTTCAGGGACCTCTCTGCATGCAGAGATATTTCGACTGTTCTTTGCTCAAGTTTTGAAACATCTCTACTAGCAGTTTGGAGCCCTCACCTGACACTTACCGATAGTTACCATGCAAGGCTCTAACTTCTAAGTCCTTTTAAAAGATGACATTGTGGTTCAGCTTTTTGTTGTCCACAATGATACACTGAGGAGAAGGAAGAATGTTATTTTTTTCCTCTTATTTGTCTACGGGTTCTCTTATTAAACCAAATAATCTTCAAAAGGTCAGGTGTTTAAAGATACCGATGAAACTAGCACCTGTCTGCATGGGTCCGTGCCTCAGTACTCATAAAAGACTTGGCCACAAGTAAAGTAAAAAAAATTATCCACAAACATTTGTTGCTGACTCATTTAGAAACACAGCGGCTGAGTTTTCAAGTGTATTCCAAGGGGCAGACATCATTGAGCCCAGCTTGCATCCACTGCTACTTTGGCATTAATTTTGTAGAGTAGCCTTCTGGAGTCTTTCAGACTCATTTCTAATAATGAAGGTGAAACCACCCTATTCCCTGTCCTCATTATTAACTAAGGAGCCCAAAACATTGGAAAACAAAGGAGACAAAAGAGCATATAAACATTTGCTTTAGACACCACAGTGTACTGACAGAGGCAGAAGAAATCTCAGCTGCTTCTGAATAATACTTATCACTACTGGTCCAAGGGAAGAGACTTTTTCTATCAAGTTCTGTGACAGCATTCCAAAGGGCAAAATAAGATTTGTGTACAAAAACACCTTCCACCCTGCACCCAAAGATCCTGCCTACCCCCAGGATCTTGCCTTGGAGCCCCTAACACTTGCCCAATGCATGTTCTTGTGCGAACTGATCCTAATTCTCTCACCAGAGGAAAACATTAAGTATAGATGGGTCTACAGCTCACTCTTGCTGTGATGAAGACTTGAAGTAACAAAGATGCAGACATCTTATTTACCGTGCTAGGAAAAGAGCCTGGTTACTTGTGTCAGTGAAAAAAATATCTTCAGGCTTTTTCCTCAGAGCTACTACTCTGTGCTCTATCTTGTTGAGGACTCCAGAACGGGTAACTGCCCTCTCCTGGCAGCACATGCATCTCGCTAAATAGGAAAGGAATACACCAGCAATAAAGAGACAATCAATTTGCCAGCATCAGACCAGCACTGTCTTTTAGAAAACTTGTTTACTTTTACCAGAAGACAAGGGGTGTGTATCCAGACACGCTGCTTAGAAGCTGAGAGTGCAGCACTACCAAGGAAAGGTTTTCATATGCACACATTTTCCAGCACTGGCCACCCAGCACCCTTCCCAACAGCACCACAAATGCAACCTGGTAGCTCTCTGTGCTAATGTAGGTCCTTTTCTCAACACAATTTTCTCTTTACTCATACACAGTGCCTTACCTTGAAGCCCATTCTTTGCACTAAAGTAACTACTGGTTTTGCTTATATGGCAACAGTAATCCACAACATCAATAATCTGACTATTACACTGCAGTATCTCATACTCTTGTCACTAAATTTTCCATTTTGTTTTGTCAAGGCAAGCTCAGCAGTGGTGTGAAGCTTTAAAGGGCAGGGAAGTAGGAATGAGTGAAGCCCCTCCAAAGAACAAGTCAGAATTAGCAGCCAAATCACTATGAGAACAGCTGTGCAAATAAATATATTCAACCTTGCCTCAAACCTGCCCTGCTGCAGGATACAAGGCTGGGTAATTTCTTCCCCTTGTTCTGCCAGGATAATCCCTGTAAAAAAACCTCCAGCAAAAGGAATAGTAGCACGCAGCAGAGGAGCCAGAAAGATGCTGTGTGACGCCTGCTGCTGCTCACCTGGGGAAGAAATGTGGGGCATGAATCATCAAGCTCAAGATAAAAATCATCCAGCACAGAATGGAAATGTCATCTCAGGCCTCAGCAAAGTCAGGGACATGGACTCAGGGCAGCGAAACCACTGAATGAGATAATGGCTTTGGGTAAAATCCAAGTAAACTGCAGCTGCTGTGAGTGTCGGCAGGAGGAACGTGCTGCTGATCAGCAGTGACTGTTTGGAGGAAGAGCTACCCTTGCTTTCACAGCAGAAGCCTGGGAACAAAACAGTGCAGTAACCTTGTTGAGCCAGGCACGAGAGCAGCACTTGCACAAGTACTCACTGTTAATGGCAGTTACATACAGCGCTGTGCTTCGGTCAAGGAAAAAAAGAAAGAGAGAATCCAGAACCTCAGCCTGCTGGAGCGTGGACACGGACCACCCGAGCAGGGGAACGGTATCTGGGGAAGAAAGCAGCGTGGCAGCACAAGGGATGTGAAGCACAGGGGATTTCAGGGGAAAGCAGAAGTTAATTTCAGACACATGCAGCAAAGCAACTGAGAAAAAAATGAAGAACGCACTTGGATGTTGTGGTGCCTGCAGTCAGCTATTGCAGGCTGCAGCTCATTACCCTGACAGAGCGAGGTATGGTACCTCCTCAGCCTGTGAGGTAAAGTTCAAAGGATCACATTTGAAAAGTGGTGACACAGGGGTTCAGAGGAACCCTGAATTCAGCCTCACAGTTCAAAACACCGTGTGCATTGCAGCCACCACGCACTCAAAGCCCATCTGCTCCATTGATGTAACCTCTAGCTCCATTTAAACGCGGGCTGTGGGCAGTGCTATAGAGAGCCATGAATACTGAACTGATGATCCTGACAATCTAGAGCATTAAACGTTTTATCTGGCTGGTCAGTCCCATTGTTTGAATAACCCCGAAAGGGCTGACCGTGGTGCCCCACAGTGATTCACTCAGCCTTTACCATAATCCACTGACTAAGATAAAATTTCTTCCTGTGAGCAGACAAACAAGTAGGGGAGCGTCTGCTGTTTGTTGAATGTGTGATAATAACTGGAGATTAACCGGATAATAAAAACACTGCCTATTTACAGCCACACATCAGTTCCTTGCCAGAGGACACCTATTTGTTCAGGGAAAAGGGATTAAACTAAAGTCTGGGAGAGAAAGGATTACACACACCCGCATTGAAATGTTTGTCTGAAAACACACTGGGCCTGAAAGGTATTTTCTTCCTCTTCATTCTCTCCGATGCAGGACATGCTATAGAAATGAATCTCAGGTCTCTTGAAATGAACTCATGTGTTTGGGACAATAAAGAGAGTAATTGCTGATGCTGATTAAGGCTATCCTACAGAGCGCACAGAAGTGGTATCGCAGCCAGTCCAGCTCTGAACGCAGCCAGCAGCGGTCAGGAGTCGACTGGTCAGCAGGAACACACTCCTGCTAATGGCAAATCCAAGCCCACCCTTGGAGGTCCCCATTTCTGTGGAGCAAGGACTCAGTCTAAATTTATCAGGAGGGAACAAGTGAGAAAACACGGCGGGAATGAAGGTGGCTTTGACCCTCGTACGAGCATTGTTGGTCCACTGAGTGTGGAGCTTCTTCCTGCCGCTGGAGGGAGAGCCAGAGCCTTGACATTCTCAGGAGAGAGACAACTGAACCTCAGGGGCCCTCAGAGCAAGCCCAGCTTGCTGGTCAAAGAAAAAAGGTCCCCTCTCTCCAAGGGCAATGACAGTGCATTGGCTCTCCCCCAGGTTGGTGAAGGATGGCCGTGCCAAAGGATGGCCATGCCCCTCCCCAGCCACAC